CAAAACATCATCATCATCAATAGCAACAACAACCACATAATAGCACCATCATCATCAACAACAACAACAAAATCATCGTTAGTAACAACAGCAACAAAAACATCATCAACAACATCATCATAAACAACAACAATACCAACAACGACAACAACATCATCATCATCAACAAGATCTTCATCACATCTTCCTCGTTGGACAACCCTGGCTTGACCACCACACAGCTTGCATGCTTTCATGACGTCACAGCTAGCAATCTCCTTCACTGCTTTCTTACTGGCACTACAGACTTACACATTGCTTCTATACACACACACGCACGCACGCATACACATACACACACACACACACACACATATATATATATATATACCTATATTTTGATATATATATACCTATATTTTGATATATATATATATACACATGCTTACATACATATACATACTTATGTACATACAAATATGTTCAATGTATATGCATAAGTGTTTGTACGTATACGTTCGTACACTTACATCAAACAGATATGCGTTGTACATTGTTGCAAAGCATATCTACATTCATAGGATGTATAATAAATATTATTGGTACATTTAGAAGTATGGATCTATGAGAAAACAAAAAAACAGTTACTTTAACGATCGTTACTACCAGCACCAATGTTATAACTTCAATGATCTCATTTCCAACAACATCGTTTATCCATAGGTTCAAGATTTCCGATAGATGAACACAACTGCTTCAAACGCAAACTTTGTTGAACATTTATTTGAATGTCAACAGTGATAGAAACACTGAACTAATCCAAGTAACTACAGAAATCACATTTACGACTTCGCTTCTAATTTCGCTACCGACTTGGCTACTCATGCTTCCTTGTATACAAGAGATTCTTGCGATCCAAAGATTACAAATATAGCAAAAATAACAAAGATAACGAACAATCAAGATAACAAAAACTGTAGCGCAATTTGACTACTGCAGCGGTTATAACGTTACCCCCACCTTAGCCTGTTAGGCGTCATTTCTTTATTTTGATGAATAGGGAATAATTTACCCAAATGGACGATTCTTTTCTTTCTCCGCTGTCTTTCACGATCATGGGTCCTGTGGATCACCTCATTTACCATGTTAGTGACCTTGCAGCGATCTTTCCAGTTCCGTGGGAGTTTCGCCGGACATCTTCTTTTTCTGCACCGTAGGTTGCACTGCACAACCAGACCAGGTCTTTGCTCTTGAAACCTGCGTTGTTCCTCTTTGAGTCACGCCACGTTTTCGTTGGTTCGGTTCCTCTAGCCATAGGCAGACGTCGTGGTCTTTTCTTGATTTTGTTGGCTCTTAAAGCCAGAGCTTTCTTTCTATTGAGTTTACGAGTGTGCCTACATTATGGGTGTGTAAGTACATTAGGTGTTTGTGCACTTAACATGTGTACGTACCCACCTGACATGTATACGCACGGTTTAGAACGCGTAAAAATTTTTCAATAAAATTTTGTTTTTCTGTATTAACACCAAAATTTGTTAACTTCGATATCATAATCAACTGCAGCATCGTATTTTTGCAACATTTTGTAAGAAATTTTAAAAAAATGTTGTCAATGTCATCTTTTTTTATTTTTTGGAAAAGTTAAATTTATATCAGCACCATCACTATCACCATCGTCATCAACATCACCTTCATAATCTTCATTATTGATGTCAATACAAATTGAACTGGTAATAAATGTGGTCCTTGAACGATTGAGTTGCCACGCACCACAACACAATCGAATTGTTCTAATGCAACGACACAACACCTCGCCATCTAATACAACAACACCTCACCATCTATTGCAACAACACTTCACCATCTTATACAACAACACTTCACCATCTAATACAACAACACATACTCATCAACACACTTCACAACAAATTTAACTAAACACAACTACACAACACTATCAAAACGCTAAACACAATCAAATGCAACAATGCCCACACATCAGCAAACAACAGAACAGCAACACAAGCACATGTGATCCTTGCATGTCGTGAAGTCACCATGTAATACAAACCAGTGGCAAAAAATTGGCCCACCCACGTGTTGCGTTGCAGTTGCAGGCACCAAACGATTTAGACTTCATTAGGCGCTGATTGCATTGTTGGGAATATCTTCATTGATGGCGATTGGAAGAAATTGGTGGTTAAGATTATTTAGTTTGCAGTTCTGACGTCCAAATCTGGTTGCGTTGACAAACCATGTTCATGTTGTTCTCTAAATTTCAATTACTTTTCAATTATTTTCTTTGCCATGACTTTTGTCTACTCACAAATCTTAAAACATTTTCCTACAATGACTTACATAGGCGCATGCATTCTATCGGCCCATGAAGTCTTAAAGGTTTGAACTAGCCTGACATAATTCGAAATAATTCATTGTAAAAAAAATAAAACGTAGAAATGTTTAATTTTTAAATCTTGCTAACCTGTCTATGCTGAAAAAATGGAGAGGTAGAGCAGACTGGCAATGATGGCGACAGTATACTGATTCTGCTGGTGTGGCAGCAGATGGAAACTCATCTATCTGGTCATAAACGTTAATGTCTGCGATGACCTAAAATAGCAAAATGTACCACATGATAATAACATATACGATATTGATATTGATTAACGATATTTATCAAAATTTAGTCATGAAGAAACTTTGAAAGAGTAACTGCTCTGCTTATAAATATAGATCATGTTATCAGTCAAAACGTGTAGCTGAAAATTTGTACTATATTCAACCTCCATGGAGAAACAAATGTTTTATGAAAACCCTCACTAGCTGAAGTTCGGTCTGCGATAAAAAAAATGTTCGTACTGGTGTGAAGTTAATTTGTTATGTCGAAAGTTGATGCTATCTGTCTGTTTCGATCTTTCTTTCCGTTTGAAAGCTGAAAATTTTCCAATTTCAATACCACCTGTTTCAGTCGCTTGCCAAAGCGCTTTAAAAGTCATCATTATCATCATTATCACCGACTCTTGGGAGCAATCAAATAAAAATTATCTTACTGTAAGTCATCATCTTGTTAAAAAATCGTCTGTTCGGAAGCAGAAGTTGCTGGTGCCCTCCAGTAAGGACGGTAGTTATTGTTTGAAATTCTTGCTTCATAAGTTGTTGCTCGAAGTTCTCAATATCCAGGGACACCAAAATATTTTTCGTTACTACCGTCTTAAGTGAACCAATTTTTCCATTTTTCATTTTTGTCCAACTCCAGGAAATCTTCTCAACAATTTGAATTTCATGCCACATCCTCCATTGCGCTGTGCATTGCGATCAGCATTTATTTTTAATTTAAAAAATTGAAACTTATAGTTCGATGTAGAAACTTCTATGGCTATGATGTTTTCTAGTTTGTTATAAAAAAATGATTTGCATCGGAATGTGAACTGGACTAATAACTCAATCTTGTATTAGGAATCGAAGGAGTTTTCATTTGGTCAGGTAGGAAACATTGATGACGGTTGTGAGGATGATGACAATGACGTAATTAAGATTGTGACGTTATTAGTGATATTATTAGGAATGATGATGATGATATGACGTGTCATATAAGCAATAAAATCACAATACACGGACAAAGGTTCCACACGTTGACAAATTTCTATTAGCCAATTCCATTCACATTCACACACACCATTCACATCTACATTCACATTCACCATCACACAACTCATTCACATTCTGATTCATCACTCACACCTATCAATCACATTCATACAAACCATTTACACGCTCCAATCACAGACACCATTCAAACACACCATCACATTCACCATTCACACATACAATTCATACACACACACCATATTTACACACGACATTCACGCATACACTCTTCACACACACACACACACACACACCAATCACGCACACCACACCATTCAAACAAGTCACATACAATACAAAAGGCATTTATTAGGAATGATTTATGGAACATCGTCAAAATCATTTATTACTTTGACATTTTCATCACACAACATGAATAAATATAGTGACGATAACATCGCTTTTGATTTCTTTTAGAAAGGTTGATGATATAATTATTCTAAAATAAAAAAATAAAATTCTCTGAAAATTAATGAATACAAAAATGGATGGCTGAACGATGATAATTGAGATTGAATGATGTTTTGAAGGAATGAACGAACGAATGGACGAATGAATGAATGAATAGATAAATGAATTTAATGCAGCATTAATGCATTTGTGATATAATTGATAGAATGAATGAAAACCTTTGTTTCAATGGTGCATCAATAATCATTACAGTTTTAAGGTTTGAAATCAAAAAAATCAAAAATATTAATGATAACAAATGAGCTTTTTGGCGGCACGGCAACATTTGAACCAGGTGTATATTTTGAGGAATTAAGATGAAAAGAATACACGTATGTTGTTTAATGTTTGACGCCAAACAGTTTCATTCGTCAAAATTTTTTATTCATCATCGCTTTCATCATTATAGTTATTTTATTTTTTCACCAATATTTCGAAACTATCATTATTAGCATTGGATTCATCGTTACGGTTGCCATCTTGCATCATCGTCGTCATTCCCATCAGCTTTTTTTTCTTGTTTATAATCATTATACTAGATTCTACCATCATCGTTATCATCATCATTGTCATCATCATAATTAATATCATCATCGTATCATCACCCTATCATCTTTCTGATCACCACTATCATCGCCATCATCGTCATCATCACATTTTCTTCTTTATCTTCATCACCATCATTTTCCTGGAACTTACCACCACCATTTTTATTGCAACATTCTCATCAACACCGACATGAATTGAGCAGCTGCTTCTGAAGGCCGCAGACAAGATTGCCTGCACTGCTTTCTATTGGAAAACCAAATTTCTACTCGATGCTGCTCCAAACGTCTTACTCTTATTACTTAAATTAAAATTAATGAAATTAAACAAATAAGTTGAAAAAATTAAAAAATATTCAAAAGTTGCGCATGAAATTATGAGCTTGTAAAACAGGGTCAGGGTCAGCAGATGTCCGTCGGTACCTTCATGTGTTCACCGAACTGACATTCTAAGGTGGATGTGATGGGGCGAGTGTGCTGAACATCAGCTGGATGCTGTAAGAGTTGAACATCTACACATCTCATCTCGTAAAAATTCCTGGAGAGATAGAAAAATATCAACAAAAAAGTTTTTTACAGAGTATCGAAGAAGAAATTATTACGCAGAATAAATAAATAAAAAAAACAGGAAAGAAGAAGAAAAAGAAAAAAGAAACAATTAACGAATAAAAACAAAAGTAGCAGATAAAAAGCAACCCTCTATTTTTGCAATGCTCCAAATTGCATACAAACAAAACGTGGAGGAGTGAGAGGAGTGAATAGGATGTTGTTTCTACGCTCTTCACTTTCATATGTATCCTTCCACTACTATGTAAACATATACATGCACAATGCACATATGGATAATATATTTATATATATAATATGTATATATATGTATGTGTGGATTATATATTGTGCATAACATACATATTAACTGTTTATTAATTATTCAAACAGCGGATGTTCACTCTTTTACATCGTTTATTACGTACACCGTTTATTACGTACATCGTTTAGTACGTACATCGTTTAATACAAACAATATATACATTGTTTAATTCATGCATTGTTTAATGTATAAATCGTTTAATACATAAGTCGTTTGGTAAATACATATGAATAGTATAATTTAAAATATTTTTAAGAAATGTTGATATATATATCTTTGTGATAGTATATATAAATAAATACATTTTTTAAATGTTTAATTAATTTATAAGAAATATATACGTCTATGTTTACAGCAACGCATATTAGGACAAACACACACAACCAAAAACACACACACAAACATTTCAGTTTGTTAAGAAACTTAACTTTGTTAGAGGCGTTTTGTTATGGATATGGATACATTTGAAAGTTATTGTTTATAATATTCCTTCGTTTGTTTGGACAGGTTTCTTAATAATATTAAAAAAACTTCACCAGTTCTAATTCAGAAATAAATTTTTATCAAAAGTTGAAAAGTTGGTTAGCATCTTCAAGCAACCTCGGATTACTTACTTGCATGCTAAAGTTTGAAACTGTCTGCTGTTGCTTGTCCGAGTTGTTTAATATTTTTAACATCTTCTAACACAATGATATATATATTTTACGTTTGGGTTGCATATCATTGTTGTTTTGTTTATTTGATAATGAAATTATTTAAATTAATTCACCGTGAACGTAACTTTATTCATTGCTACACTTTTCTTATTGCTACTACTACTACTACTACTACAACTACTACTTTTACTACTACTTCTACTACTACTACTACACCTACTTCTATTACTACTACTAATAATAATACAAATAATAACATCAAAAGTAACAGCGATATAAAAATAATAGCAACAACAAAAATAATATTTTTACTAATACCAATGCTATTTTTGTTACTCATATTTCTTTTTAACAAGCACCGCAACTTCAACCTACTGCAACTTCTACTTGCTACAACTTCAACATACCACAACTTCTTCTTACTACAACTACTACAGCTAAAATACAAAAACAAGTAAAAGTTATGAAAACACAAAATGTAAAGTTCTTACAAGATATTTCAGAAATGAATAAGCTCTCTACACCGACATCGCATCCATTGCAGAGTATGATAGAAGAAATAACACTAAACTTCACACTCAGACCGAAAACTCAATTACAACAGCTTTATGGAACTTTACAACCCAATTCGAACTCCAATAAATAAGAACAGAGTTTCTCAACCATCCAATTAACCTTCGCAAACTTTTAATACTACATAGGAGTACAAAAATTACTGTTTTGAATACTGCAGATGAAATATGTTGTTACTGCTATCCTTACTACTATTATGCCTCTACTACTGCTACTACTACTGTCACCACTACTGCCGCTACTGCTACTACTACTTGTACCTCTACTACTATTACTACTATTCCAACTTTTATTGCTGCTACTACTACTATTGCAACTCTTCTCATGCAATTATGAAAAAATGTTGCACTTCATAACCAAAAACACTGTTTCAATATTTCACAACCAGTAATGCTGTAAAGTGAAACATCTGCTATAAAACTGTCATTTGCTGCTAAAAGATGACGACATAAAAGAAACTTGGAAGAAGTTAGAAGCTAGCTAAACCAGCAGAGATATTGTAGAAGCAACACACGTTCCTCTGTGCCCGCCACACTACCTCGCCAACCAACCATCCCGAGATGTTCTCGCCATTTGTTCAGTAAGACAGCAATGAAAGATTAATATTTATAAAATCAAATCAAATTAATTAGACATACCGTACATGCTACATTCAGACTGAAAAGAAATCAATATCAACAGTATCAAGAATAACAGCGTCAACATATTTAAAAAGTCAAATTCATTAAATTATCATAATATTAATAACATTTCATAAAACAAAATTGATAACAACACACACTGGCACAACATCACAACAACAACATTATTAACCACAACACGAAAACAAATGAAAAACATCGACAACATTTTGACCATAAAACATTACCAACAGTACCTACTACAACATAAACGTCCTAAACAACAACAACAACAAAGCACCAACTTCACCAAAAACAACCACAACAACAAAAATATCATCAACAACAACAACAATGATAAGCAATATAACAAGAACACACATGAACAACAAGAGCCAGAGCCAAACAAGCGATAAAACAAAGGATAAGATTCGAAGCATGAGAATTTTATTTATTGGCATTCAGATGTCAACCAATAGGAAGAAGCGGCACGTGTAATGCACGAGTGGCGCACACTCCCATTGCATTAATGACGTCATTTGCGATTTAATATCTTTTGTTGCACGGATTTTATCATCAATTATTTGTTTTTTAGTTTTCTGAAAATTTTTCCTTTCTCCAAAATTTATAATTTTAAAACTATTTTCTTTCCTCCCTATCACATTTCATTTTGTTTATATTCTTGCATGAAATCGAGGAGGTCCTTTTGAACATTACAAAATTATTTATAAATTTGTTCTTCAAACGTGAAGTAAAACATGAATGTGATAATATCTCCAAAAAAAAACAAAAAAACTTATTTGGCGAGCACCCGTCGGAGAATAGAGCAGAGAATCGTAACATTCCCTTCGCAAACATCCTGGGTAGTCTCAGGCACCGAGACACCTTCTTCATGGCTAACAACGCTTTGCTAATTAATTTTGTGCTCTCAAGTTAACTGAAACCTCTGCCCCACTAACCATACAACTGTTTAGAATTGGAGTTGTTACGAAAGTTTGTCTCGAGCTAAAAAAAAAACGTCAGAATTCCCCAAATGAAATAATTATATTTGTGCATGCGTTTATTTAATTTTTTCTTTAACCTAATTTGGAATTCAAAATCTTAAGAATTTTTACAAAGTACATGTTTGATGTAACTGCAGTAGAAACTTAAAAATAGCCAGACGCACAGTTATGTTATTAAATATTTGTATTATCATCAAATATCAAGGCGGTTGTATTGCTTCCTTCCTGGGATCAATGAAACGTTTGCATATAATTGTAGTCTCATATTTCTTAAAGAATTTGGAAATTTGCATAAGAAACCCGCCAAAATAAATAAACGAACGAGGAGTTATTGTTGATGGAATTCGACGACGACAGATATTAAAAAAAAATATTAATGCAAACAAACAGCAACGAACGATGTTACTTATAAATTAATTAAAAAAAATTTCCAACAAAATCGATTTGTTGAAAATTATTGACGACAACAACAACAATACTGAAAAACATCCAGCTGCAACTTCATGCAAGCAAGATGAACGACAATTTATCAACACGGCCACCTCTCCCACCCTCATATTCAGCGAAGCCACAGCAGCTACCACAACAACCACAACAACATCCACAACTTGTTGTAACAACAGAAGACCAACAAACGTACACTCCTCCCATATACAACTCCGACACTTTTGCCATCAAACCAATATTTTTTCCGGAAATTAATGAAGCTGAACTCGGTGATGATATGATCTGATGTGATGATGATGATGGTGAAATTAATGGTGATACTGATGATGATGCTAATAAAATTGATGATGATGATGGTAATGATGATAATAGCAGTGACAAGGATGAATATGCATTGATTACAGCAGATATGATAAAAATGATTGTAACAAAAAAGTTAATAGCGATGATGCAAAGCCTATGATGTTAATAATGCCAGCCGCTCTAAGGATTATGTACGATGCAGATGAAGATGTCAATTGAAACGACGAAATATTCATTAAGTTGAGAACTGTAACGGCTTTTGATGTTGTGATGAAAATAAAAAAAACTTTTTTAAACGATTAAATTGAAAATGCATGAGAAGAAAATTAAGATTATGTACACGCAGATTACACAGCAGCAAATATAAGTTAAATGTTTAAACAACAAACTCCTTTTTAAAAATCTAGGTACAATCAAATACACATAAACAAACTCGCAGACTGAGCAAACAACACACGCACACATACGCGCACATGCAAACGCACGCACGCAAACACGGGGAGATAGGCGGAAGGCAAATAAATAATGAGATGCACGAGCACACAGCGAGCCGAGTATGCTCCAGCGGGCTGAACCTCCGAACAAAACATCGCTCTGGAAGAAGTGTCATCGTCTTTCTTTGATTCCGCCTGTAAGGTCTTAATAACGAGAAAACATTACAGAATAAGGCAATACCTTCACAAAATTGATCCATACTAAACATAAATTCGTTTTCAACAACTTTGTCAGCTATCTTTCATTTTATCACATTTATACAAATATATATATATATATATATAAACATAAAAAAACAGTATATATATGTGTGTGTGTTTGTTAGTAGTATGGTAACAATATTCACAAATAAAAACACACAAACATGTTTATTTTACACCAAACAAATTACCGTAATCAAATTTATACATGTGTCTTCCATAGTTTTTTTAATTATTTGATAGATTTTACTTAGCCAGTTGTGGCCAGATTGATGCAGAACTAATCCATCAATGAAGAAAGAAACAGACTTGAGTATACAGTCATGCTCCTCCTTTGTATTCAAACGCATCTATCCCATCTAGGTCAATTTTACAACACATAAATACATGCTTGCACACTTGCACACACGTCTGCATAGTTGCACATAAATGAGTGCTTCAAGTATAAACATTTATACCTACATCTTTCCACACATAGGTAAAAAACCAGCCATAAAAACAACGTACCTAGATACGAACAGAAACATATGTGTATTTAAAAGTTTGTTGTTAAAAAATTTATTGTTAAAGGTTGTTGGTGATATTTTGCTGCATGTTGATAATATGACTGTTGTTCTAGCTAGCTCTTTTTGATTTAAGTTTTGCCTTTGATGCGGTGGATCATGGTATATTACTTGATCGTTTGAAGAAATCTCTTTGTGTAGCTGAAGTTGTGATGAGTTGGCTTCTGGATCCAGAAGGTGTGGTTTGAGAATTTGATGTCTTAGCTGGTGTCCCTCAGGAATCTGCGCTTGGACCTTTTCTGTTTTTGGTATATATTGCTGATTGCTGATTTGATTACTTTAGTTGAATTTTTGAATATCTCTATTCAGATGTGTGCTGATGATATTCTAATTTATGGTGCTGGCTCTCTGTCTGAAGTTGATGGTGTGACTTCTAAAAATGTTGGAGCTTTTGAGTGTATAAAATCTTGGTTGAAATGTGCTCGTCTTGTTCTTGATCAAAAAAACGGAAATGATGTGGATTGGTTCTAAAGTTTCACTTTCTAAAATTAGTTCGAATGAAATTATAACAAGTCTATCATTAACCTGTTATCTGTAGTTAAATATCTTCGTTATATGTTAGATAATTAGTTGTCTTTTAAATCTCAAAGTGCTCAAATTAATAAATATTTTTTTGCTTTAAAAATCTAAAATTAATTTTGAAATACGTGTTTTTAGATGTTTTCAGCAACTTGTTGTAGTTTTTATTTTGACCTCGGTTGGATTATTGCAATTTTTTACTTTTTTGGTTAATATTGATTTGCTCAAATCCATTCAATTGGTTCAAAATACTGCAGTTAGGGTTTGAATTAAAAAAATTTGATCATATCTCTGATTGCTGTAATATATATATATATATATATATATATATATATATATATATATATATATATATATATGTGTGTGTGTGTGTGTGTGTGTGTGTGTGTGTGTGTGTAATTATAGATAAACATCAGAGCATGTTTGGCGTTAGTTAACTTAGTTTACCAAACATGCTGTGATTTTCATAAAAAATTGCATTATACATATATGTATAATAATAATAAACAAAGCACATACAATCTCACGACACAAAGCAGAAACGCACTCTTTAAAACATAAACAAACACATACTTACACACACACGTACGCACACACACACACACACACTGACACAGCCACATGCACACACACCTGCGTTCAACTAGAGATGTGTAACATAATTAAATAAACCTCAGAAAGAAACTTTCATGGCTTGGTACGATTGATGTCATTGGTAGATGAAATGAAATTCATTAAAAAACCCTCATCGCTATTGGCTGATTTGTTTCAACACTGTATTTGTGTGTCGGTGTGTGTGCGCGTGCGTGTGTGTGTGTGCGCGTACGAGTTTAGTGGTGTGTCCAAGTTCTGAAATTATTGTTTCTATGTGTTTAAAATTGAATATTTTCGTCTGAAACAATTTAAAAAGATATTTTATTAATGACGGTGATGATCATCATTAATATTGAAGATATGAACAATGCTATAATTGCTATTGTTTAAATATGACTCTAATTTTCATAATTATTATTATCATAATTTATAATAATAATATTATTATTATTAATTTATAATAATAATAATAAAACACTTGCACTGCTAGTGGACAGTGTGCCAGCGACGGAGGCGGACACGTTGATGACGAATGACCATGGCAGGGTCGAGATGGCTCTCTTTGAGGTCAGTGCTCAGAACGGCTGTGATGATGATGAGGAGGAGGATTGTTAATACTTTAACTGTTATTATTATTATTATTGTTTATTATTATTGTTATTATTATTACCAGCAGTTGTAGTCAGTAGTAATAGCAGGAGAAGTAGTAGAAGTAGCAGTAGTAATAGAAGTAGTAATGTGATATTGATTGTAGTGATGATTGATAATCATAACAGTAATGAGTATAATAATGATTGTGATAAGAAAGATTGCAATGCAGAGGATGGTTAGAAAGTTATTTTTTCTATAAAATAATTTTTTTTTAATTTTGAACAAAGTATTTTTCTTTATTTTTGTTTCTTTGTATTAAAATAACTATTTAGCCCCAAAATAATGTAATTGATTTTTTCACTCTTTCTTGCCTCTAGTGAGCTGTTTGTACTTTCTTACTTGCACCATCTTAATACCTACTTGTACCATCTTGATACCTACTTGCACCATCTTGATACCTACTTGCACCATCTTGATACCTACTTGCACTATCTTGATACCCACTTGTACCATCTTGATACCTACCTGCACCATCTTGATACTTTCTTGTACCATCTTGATACCTTCTTGCACTATCTTGATACCAACTTGCACTATCTTGATACCTACTTGCACCATCTTGATATCTACTTGCATCATCTTGATACCTTCTTGCACAATCTCGATACTCACTTGTACCATCTTGATACCTACTTGTACGATCTTGACATTTACTTGCACCATCTTGATACCTTTTTGCACTATCTTGATACCTTCTTGCATCATCTTGATACCTACCTGCACCATCCTTATACCTACCAGCACTATCTTGATACCTTCTTGCATCATCTTGATACCTACCTGCACTATCTTGATACCTTCTTGCACCATCTTGATACCTTCTTGCACCATCTTGATACTTACTTGCACCATCTTGATACCTACTTGCACCATCTTGATACCTACCTGCACCATCATGATAACTACCTGCACCATCTTGATACTTACTTGCACTATCTTGATACCTAATTGTACTATCTTGATACCTTCTTGTACTATCTTGATACCTTCTTGCACTATCTTGACCATCGTCACTCATCTTATATAACGCGCTACCTCGCTGTGTGGGAAATAAAAATCTCATTAGAGGACACTCACAGCAGAAAGCAGCATGAATATTTTATTGAAATTATCTTCGCGACCACTTCCCCGGTTTCTCCCTTTTCCCATAAATAAAACCCCAGTAAACCAACTTACGCCAGCAACATGGCTCATTCTGGCTGACTAAATGAAAGTAATAGTACAACATCATAACCATACTGATATGAAATGGTGGTTGTTTATTTAGTGATGCCAACAAATGAACGATTCATCTTATAAATAGGTGCTTGCACAGTCTCAAATAACGCGTTGATTGCACTTGGCAGGCACTTTGTGATGCACCACTGGCAGTTGTTTGCTTAAAGTGTATATGAACAGCGAACGGCTGGCTCATTCCTATCTCGATTGCGGCTTGCGAATATTTCATGCTGAGCGTGTTTTTATAAAACTTCAGCAAAATGAAAAGTTATTTGCACATTTCTTAAGTTTAATCAAATCGTTACAACAAAAATTATTTTAGGAAACGACAGGTTTTGAGAACATGAAGATTGATAACTTCGAACGAAACATTGAAATAATGATTTTTAAACAAAAACTTAAAAATGGCTGCAGACAAATCCGATAACTGAAATTTATATAAAAATATATAGATAGATAGATAGATAGAGTGTTGCTTAATTTTAATGTAATTTCATCATTAGCGGCTTCCTCTTTGATCGAATCTCATTGCTAGAATTCGCAGTTTAGAGACTAAAACTTGTCAATTTTTTTTTTATGTCAGTAATTAAAAATTAAATGAAACGTTTCAATTAAACTACAACGTATTGACAAAATCAACTGAAATACATTTAAGATTTAGTTTTAATCATTTAATAAAATAGTACCAATCTCTATATATTTCATTTTTAATTTAATCACCAATGTACACAGGAAAAAAAATTTAATTTACAATTTCACGCCACCCACATGAAGATGAAGGAAGGAAGGACCTGGAGTAAGTTCGTGCCAGATTTGTTCCATATAGACGTAGCCTGCACTGAAGAGGATTAGTGAAAAATCAAAATTGGGCCTATCTGCATGATGAATTTGGATAACAACAGTTTCATTAAATTCCCATGACGAACTTGGATAATAATTTTATTTCCAATAAATTGAACAACTTCCATAAAATTCTAGTAAGGAAAATTGAAGAGACAAACCTTAAATTGATTAATGCCAACAATTCGGTAGAATTCATACAATACTGTATAAAATATGGTCTCCTTCCAACTCCAACACAAATACACACAAACACAAACACACACCACACGCGTATATACATATATACATACATATATATATAATATATATATATATATATATATAATATAATTTAATTCCTTTTGCATTCTGGATGGAGCTGCTAGATACCTGACTGTGCGAGACCAGGGACATAGATAAAAGTTGAACTCGGAAACGATTGCATGCCTAACCATGACTTGTTCATCAAAACGGGTTCATACACACACACACACACACACACACATATATATATATATATATATATATATATATATCCATCTTATTTATCGATCGGTCCCTTCGCTGATTTTACCACCAGTAGAAACAGAACTAGAACACATTCTTATATATATATATACATAAATATATATATATACATTTATACATTTATGCATTTATACATATATGCATATATGTATATACGCATATATATATATATATATATATATATATATATATATATATATATATGCATATATTTACAACACATGTACTGTGAAATATATAGAGGCTTATAAAATAAAATGTGTGCTAATACACGTGTTCACCGATATTTGTGTTAGAAAACAATTAGAATTAGTAGACTGACGTGTTTTGTGGGTAACTTACAATACGTGTACACGCACACATCCGTCAAACAGTTTTGTACACCGATGCTTACAACTGCAAACGTATCATCAATGCAGACATTTGATTGGAGTGGCGTGCCTCGCCTCGTATGTACGACGAAATGACGTCATATCAAATATCGGTTTCCACGTTGAAGTCACTCTCGTCAGCTTTTTAAAAACATTCCCGCCTTCGTTGTGGTGAGGTGCAGTGAAATAGTTCGTTCATTTGAATTAAAAAATGGAGATAAGGAAACATAAATGAATTGGATAAAAAAAAAGAAAAAATGTATCAAATGTTTGAGGGAGAGAAAAGTGAGGAAGAAAGTAAAGTAGAGAGAGAGAGGAGAGAGAGAGTTGTTGGTGGTGAATGAATTGAGAGATGAGCGCCTGCAGTGACCGCTTGCATTGTAAGTGTGTGCAGGAAGGCTTTCATGTTTGTGTTCATATGTGTGTTGATCTTAGGGTGATTTTAGGATATGATGTTCTGTTGTTGTTATTATTGGTGTTGTTGTTGATGTTTTGTTGTGTGAATGTTTTGTTGATATTTTGTTGTTGTTGATGTAATGTTGTTGGTGTTGTTGATTTGTTTTACTTGTTGTTTTGTTTTTATTGATGCTTTGTTGTTGTTAATATTTTGTTTTTGATGATATTATGCTGTTGCTGATTTTTTTGCGTTGATATATTGTTGTATATGTATCATTATTGATATTTTGTTGTTGACAGTTTGTCCCGAATGCGATGCTGTTGTAATTAATATTGCGTTGCAAATATGGTTGCGAATGCATTGTTGTTGATTTTAGTTGAGCAAACTTTATTTGACGAATGAAAGTGACAACGCTGGTGATGTTGTTGTTGCAGTTGGTATGTTGAGGTGCAGTGGCATCTTCTTCAGTGTGGCACATGGCCAACATTATTCTCATCAATTCAGCAACGATTGGATTTTTAAACTTTTTTTTGCACTGACCACCACACATTCACCAGAGTTCCTCCCATAAAATTCAACAAATTGTATTTATTCATGTCCATGCTGTCAGGAATTTTAAATTCCTTGCGTGCCTCGTTGCGCTGCGTTTTATTTCATTCATCGTTTCAATCCACTTTCATTATTTATTCAACATCGACAAGCCAGCAAATTTAAACATTTTCATTTCGCAGACATTATCAATCACACGCAATTTCGCACCTCAGCCAACGTCTTCCCCGCGAACGAAACAGCTGCTGTCGCTTCATCATTCGTTTCAAAATCCATTTTACATTTTGAATTTTATAATCTGAAAATAAGCATAAAATCATCGTAGTAAGTTTGTGACGATTGATTGAAGGATGAAGAGGAGGAGCGGCCACTGGTCTCCAGGGTGATCTACAAACTGGCCAACTACGACGGGGGCATGGTCCCGAACCAGGACCTCACTGAACAGATGGACGAAACCGATCTCACTGCTGAATCGACGCAAAATGGAAAAAAGAAGAAAAAGAAAAAAACGAAATCTAAGCAGGTTTGCTGCTGTTATGTTGCCTGCGCAGTGTACTTACTCTCCACGATTTGTCACGCATGCTAATGATGTTGCAAGTTTTATTGCCAGCTATATAATTACATCCATTAAATCTCTTTTTGTATTGTCGTGATTTATCATTTAGTTTGTCTTTTATAATTTGAAATAATTTTTTAAGGAAAAGAACAGCCCAACAATATAAAAATGTTTTTAGTATTTGCAGTCTTTGAGCTAATCCTGCAAAAAAGTTAGGTTTAATTTTTGCAAGAGACTTGTCCATTGACCCATCTGCATCTTTATTGCACAAGAACTCACAAACAAGCCCACATACAAATGCACACATGTTTAAGAAGATACAAAAAAACTCCAAGACTGCTAGACTAAATTACTTTTGTAACTCATAAAATGATACTGCACTTAATATACATACATACACACACACACACACACACACACACACACATATATATATATATATATATATACTATATCACAAATAAGTTTCTAGATATTTTGATTTTTTCCAGAAACTTTGTCTAGAAGTCTAGAAAGGAGCCTTGTATTAAAGTGGCATGTTCGTAACTGTTTCAAGACAATAGCTCTCAAACAAACAGATAGACAAACCAGACTTAAAACTCCACTTATATGTTAACATTTTTTTTACGAACCTTCTAAAAGTATAACTGATGTAAAAGTTAACTGGACGTCATATTTGATGTCAGCGCAAACAAGTGCCCCACTTACGTGTTTATTTGATGAATTATTCAAAATGATCCCATCTGATAAAACATAAAATTGTATAAATAAATGTTCCAATGAAAAACACTTGAGCAAATATTTGGTAATTCAAGTTTTTAAAACATAAAATATATACAATTAGACAAATGCGCCAACACACATCATGATTTTTTAATACTTTTGTAATGAAGCACCATCACAAGAAATGCATATCTGAACAAAGCTTTCCATTTTTACTCTTTTTCATATTCGTTCTAGTAAGTTTTTTCATATCTTTGCAATCTTTATAAAAAAAAACATGCCGTTGCATTATTGTTACAACTTAACGTGCTGTCATGTCAGCAACTCACTCAATCTTTCCTCATTTTCATGCTTTTACGTTGCCTAACATTTTAACATCTGTTCATGAGCTCTAAAATATTTTTAGCGGTAGAGTTTCGTGAACTCAAATTTTGCCAAAAGAAAAACTTTACCAAAAGTATTCCAACTTATTATTTTTTTATGATAAATGTTATTAATTAATATTTAATTTATATTTCTTCCTAAATTGCTACAAATCAGTCTCAGTTTTGTTATTGATATTATAAAATCGATTTACTTCAGGTCTATAGAGTGAATATATTTTATCATTAGAATCATGAATAAAATTTTCTCTAAACATAAAACAATTTTCCGTTTCGGTTCAACGTGTGTGCATCTAAAGAAGCAGGTTCTCGCTACGTCCATGCAAACTGCACATTTTCTTTACGACTTGTCCTCTTTCAAATATTTCTTTATGTATGAGTGCGAAAATTATCTTGTGGTTGAGCATGGGTGCGTGTGCGTGGGTGTATGTGCGTGTATGTATGTGTGTGCATGTGTAGAACACGTTGAAAAAATCTCTTGTGGGATCATTGTGTGTATCATCACTGAGACAATTCTGTACCCTAAAAAATATCATGAAATTTAGTAAGTTGAGAGACACAGGCGATAACATTTTTACATACTCATAATAAACAAAGATACTCAATAATAAACAAACATAAACAGAAAAATAAACACTGCACATTGAAATGCAACAATACATCTCATGAACCTAAAACACAAGCAAACATACATACATACATACAAAACAAACAAACAAAAACAAACAAGCAGACAAACAAATAAACAACAAACAAACATTTGTGCATACATTTGTATAGCAGTCCGCAAAACTGGGAACCGTGTTGGGTGTGTTTTTCCCGTGCATCCAGAACATTTTTGGAGTCATCTTGTTCATCAGACTGGTGTGGGTGGTCGGTACTGCTGGGTGGGTCGAAGCTTTCATACTGGCGTTCACTTGCTGCTGCTGCGTTAGTCGAAATGTTCTTTGTACTATTGTTGTTGTCGCTATCGTATTTTTGTTTTTATTTGATATTGTTGTTGTATTATAATAATTTTGCTTTATGTTATCTTAATGTTGCAATTGAGTTGGGTTGTTTTGTAATAGTGGCGACGAGAAATTTTTCATATTAATGTTTTTACGTCATCTGACGTTAGCTTGTTTTTGTTAACTTAGCGTTGTTGTTGCTGCTGTTGCATTAGTTGCTAACAATTTCAAGAACGCATTCTGTTTGATGTGACGTGCCAATAAATAATATCAATGAGACTAACGACGACACGGCTCGTGGAAATGATGGATGCCCTGCGGTTTCATATTGAACCGACGATTGATGACGCAAATGTTAATAACGATGTACACGGGTATGACAGCAACAATGCCAACATCCCGCAGGTCAAACACGACAACACAACCATTTATTGCCGCTCCTATCTGATTGCATTGCATCCTAGTACTGCAATAAAATTTTGTCGTCAGTGTGTGCTCCCATAAAATGATTCCATTTTTTTGAATGAATGTTTATTTAAAATGACGTCACCACCTAGACGATGACGACATCGATATCGATGAGTGCCATAGCGACGAACGGAGTTGTTCCGGGCGGAGGTTCCTACTTCATGATATCGAGATCTCTCGGACCGGAATTCGGCGGTGCTGTCGGTATTTTGTTCTACCTCGGGACGACGGTGGCATCTTCCATGTACATCGTCGGAGCAGTCGAGATCATGCTGGTTGGTCCCAATCCCGTTTGGTGGTTAATATGTGGATGGATGTCTTGTTGTTAAGTTGATGACTTCCAGCCGTTTTATTCTAATTCGTTATTTGTATCTCATTGGCCAATACAATTAGAAATAATGAATAGTATAATAATAATAATGGATGAATAATAAATGATACAATCAGTGATACTAATGATACATTCAGTGATACCAATGATACAATCAGTGATACTAATGATAAATTCAGTGATACTAATGATACATTCAGTGATACTAATGATACATTCAGTGATACTAATGATACAATCAGTGATACTAATGATACAATCAGTGATACTAATGATACATTCAGTGATACCAATGATACATATGGTACAAATAATACAAAGAGCAAATAGAGAATATTACTGAAACAACTTGAACACACCACTCAGCAATACATGGCTCCATCGGAGGCTGCCATCTTCGGTCCGATCAACATTCCCGAGAACGCATACAACGCTTACCGGGTGTACGGTACCGGACTGCTGCTCATCATGTTCATCATGGTTTTCATCGGCGTCAAGTTCGTCAGCAAGTTCTCCCCGGTCGCTCTCTTCTGCGTCCTCTTCTCCATCGTCTGCGTCTACATCGGGATCTTCACGGCCAACCCCAGCCGGGGACCCAAGTTCGATCAACATTCAAAATATCAAATTTAAAATTTCTATTAATTTTTTATTAATAAACCTTTGGTTAATTACCAATGTTTGTATCTGAAGTCTGTCATGACTGACACTCAACTTTAGTTTGAAGACATTTGGTTTGATAATATTTAAATGGTTTTTGAAATAAGAACTTATGTTCTAGAAACAATGAAAAGTTGGCAGACAAATCACAAACAAAACGGCATGCTAATCCTAACAGCAGCGCATTATATCTCGAACTATATTTCTTGCTGTTACTCCATATTACAGAATCTGTTTCTTGGGACAACGTTTGCTAGCATTGAAGAAGATCCAGGACGAGAATGGAACAATGCAGTGCAACAAATTCTCTAATGGGAGCATCTTCAAAATGTACTGTCCCAACACCACCTACGATGAAATTGACTCCAGCACCGATCCGGACTGTATCTACTTCCGGGAGAACGAAGTGATTGAGAAACCGGGAATTCCTGGTTTGGGAAGTGGAAAGTTTATGGGTGAGACGGGGTTTTTGAGTTTTAGAGTGTATATTGTACATGTAAATATATGTGTGTGTGTGTGTTGTGTGTGTGTGTGTGTGTTTACAACTGCGAAATAATAAAATTTCCTATTAAGTTGTTTTTAAAGTGCTGTGCAGAGAAATGCAAACAGATTATCATAAGCCAACCTCGTCAAAAAAAAACAACAACTTATCAGAAATATTTTTAATTTTCACGCCATTATTTATATGTTCTGTGGCAATGCGATTTTTGTATATCAAAGGAAAGTATATTAATAGAAAATGATTTAAAACCATTTGACATTGAAGAAATTACAGATTATTTAACATATTATGCGAGATGCATGCTAACAAATAAATTAACTATGGATAAATTAGTTTTAGAAAGTATTTGAAACTACTCGAAACAATAAAAATTGTTTCTACTTACTTTTTAAATTCATTTCAACGGCATCATGTAAAACTTGCTCAGAGAACGCCATGAGCAGATACAACAAGGATGGAGACAGAATCGGAACTCAAGAAAAAGGCAACCGCGACAAGGGTGACATCCTGTCTGATATTTCAACTTCCTTCATCGTCCTCATTGGCATCTTCTTCCCTTCCGTCACAGGTTCGTAAATTGGTTTACAATTTCTTCAATACTGAATTTAATTCTTCAGAACATTAATAACAATTTTTATCTCATGGATTCACAGCACGATGCCGTTGAAATAAATTTAAAAAGTAAGTAAAAACAACCGTGGACTGTTGAATTTAAAAAATAAATTGGTGATGTCTGCAGACGACTTTGAACATTTTTGACAATTTTTTATGCAATTTTTCATCAGTGGCCCTCCCACCATAAATAACGCAAAACACTCGATCCTTTGATATTATAATAAGTAATTGTACGTATTTGTAATTGTATTAATGAGTAATGTTAAGATATTGTAATGAGTAATTGTAGCATTTCGCTTAATAGCATTTAAAATTTTGTATGCAAAAGTTAAAAAATAACGACATAATCCCCAGGTCTGATGGCGGGCTCGAACAGGTCAGGTGACTTGGCTGATGCACAGAAATCCATTCCGACTGGCACAATAGGAGCTGTGGCCATCACTTCATTCGTCTGTATCCTTTCGTTGAATAACAATTTGTCGTCGACAACATTTTTCTGCTTTCTTATAAAACACAAATCTCTTCTAGGAACAGAGGTGTAGTTTTTGGAGCCAGTTTAACAAATTTAAAAACACCACAGTATGAAAATTTTGAACCTCTTCAGTATTAACTACAACCTTTGAAACGTTCCCAACGTAACATCATTGCTCGCCATCATCGTGGTCGTCGTCACCATCCCACGCCCCATCAGAGCCAAATAAATCATCATTGTCGTCACAACGCTCATAATAAACGCATCAACATAGTACTTTTATCATTATCACATCAACAACAACGTTATCACTATCAATCCTGGTTATCATAATCATCATCATCAGACAAACAGGCAGACAGACATCATCATCAAACAGACAGACATCATCATCATCATGCGGTGGCCTCGAGCAAGCGCAAGTTTTGTAGAGAGAGATAAAAAAAATAAATGGCATTTGAAAAATGAAATTGCGGCACATCAGCCCGAGATGACGTCATCATGTTGTGACGTCATCATCATATTTGCGTCAACAACATTTATTGGGTCTTCAGTTTCAAAATGACTTTTGAATTTCATTTTTTTCCATGCAGAGGCAGGGGAATGTAGTGGTGCGATGAGTGCGGTGATGATGGTGATGATGACGATGGCGATTATAGTGATGATGATAATGATGGTTTTGTTGATGATAATGATGGTTTCGGTGATGATAATGATGATTGTGATCAGAGATATTAATATTTCAATGAATATATTACACGCAGTCTTACTCTGCCCTTCTTGCATGGCTGCACTGCTAAGAAAGCTGTCATAATCACATGGATGATAAAAAAATTTTAGCAGGGGTTGTTGCGAGTTTTAAAAATTTTTCTATCGTAACTACCGTTCTGAGAACGGATCTCAAGCAAGAAATTGTTACAAATTTATTCAAGATCCCAAATTCAATTTTATACATCGTATAATTAAAAACACAATTTTTTATTGAGGCATAAACAAACACATGATCTTATGTGTATATTACATACATTGGGCTGAGTACATGGTTGGGTTGTATGACGGTATTAAAATTGAAATGTACCAACAAATACGTCGTTTCTGTTCTTTAACGAGTCTGACCGTCGTAAAGATTTGAGCTGCTTGCTGCTGTTTGGTGCTTGCGTGGAGGGCCAGTTACTGCGGGATAAGTGAGTTCTTGATGATGATGTTAATGGTGATGATGGTGGTGTTGGTGATGGTAGTGTTGTTGGTGAGGATAGCAAATATGATAATGTCAGACATGATGGGTATGATGATAAAAGCAGGATTGGTGGTAGCAGTGATGATGGTACAGATGGTCACAATAGCCCATAAAAGATAGACTGGCTGCATTAAATGGACGTTGATGTTTGTTGAAAAGTCCTCAGCCAGTAGCTGGCGAGATAAATGGTTGATGCTTTAAATACCAATTGTGTGATGTTTTAGTTACAAAGATACAAGTTAAAAAGATACAAGTTACAAAGATACAAGTTAAAAAGATACAAGTTAAAAAGATACAAGTTACAAAGATACAAGTTACAAAGATACAAGTTACAAAGATACAAGTTACAAAGATACAAGTTACAAAGATACAAGTTACAAAGATACAAGTTACAAAGATACAAGTTACAAAGATACAAATATGGGCAATGCTGCGTTGGAAGAGAAAAAGCAAAGAGATGAATGAGTTTGAAAAAAGAGAAGAAGTATGGAAAGAAGAGATAGAAGGAGAAAGCAATAAAATAATTAAGATAATATAAAAAAAATAAGAAAAAATAGAAAATGAACGAAAAAATGTGTGAACTTATTTAAATTGGTCACTTGGCAGGATTGGTGAGAGCATGGGCGGTGGCTTGATAGTGTCCCACCTGGCCTGGCCCAATCCATGGGTAATCGTCATCGGGTCGTTCTTCTCAACGTGCGGTGCTGGCCTGCAAAGTCTTGTTGGTCAGTTGGATGTTCATCTTTATTTTTCGAACGCTATAAAGTCTCAATGCGTTGCGAATATTTCACCTGTTGAAATGCTTGTAGTAAAAATGTTTTAAACTGAATTATAAAAATTTGCTAAACTGTTAAAAATTAAGTTTATTTCTGATGATTGAATTTTGAGGTGTTAGATCAGTTTTCATGACAAATAAGCTTTCTTCATCCCACTCACAAATGATAAATACGTTGCTACAATTCGTGTTTCATTCAACACAATGTTACCACTGTTGAGTAATACAACTTCAGAACATGAACAACTTGAACAAATTGTCATTCGTTGATTTCTTGCAGGCGCTCCAAGGTTACTGCAGGCAATCGCCGCGGATGGCGTGATTCCATTTCTGAACCCTTTTGCGGTGACCAATAAGAAGGGCGAGCCGAAGAGGGCCCTTTACTTGACGGCCACGATCGCTGAGTGTGGAGTTCTGCTGGCAAACGTTGACTACATCGCCCCCATCATCACTATGTTCGGTTTCCATTTTTATTACTTTACTATTTTGTTATCTGCTAATAATTTTATTTGATTTTTTTAAGCATTAACCTTATATTGCACGACATTTAAACGAAAATAGTTATCAGCGTTGAAACACGTTAATATTCATCGGAACGCTCAAAGGCAAACACGAAAAAATGCAATTAAATTGACGTTGGGCCTACTAAACACATGCACGGAGATGCTCGGAAAACATTCAGGCACGTGATCTACACGCAAGCAGTCATGCTTATCGATAACAAACTGACCACAGAAACCATAGAAACACAACTCAACTGCAGAAGTATACGCAAAACAAAACCTCATAAGACAACACAACTGTACGCCCATGAAGATAAAACATAAAAATGAATACTAACAGGCACAAACACACTTGCAAATAAAAAAAAACTTAATCGCATACAAAAACATGCAAATACAAACATACTTACGTACATACATGCATATATTTGTATATACATATAAATACAATTAAACACATGCATATAATATAATAAAGGCATGCACATACAAACACACATGCAGGTTCTTCCTGATGTGCTACTGTTTCACGAACATGGCCTGCGCCGTGCAGACCATCCTGAAAAGTCCCAACTGGAGGCCGAGATTCAAATTGTACCACTGGTAGGCGCTGCATTTCTACCATTACTTCACTTTAAAAAACTAATTTATGTTGAAAATAATATCATAGAAGTGTAAAAAAATAAATTTCAAGATGTGAAGTAACTTCTGATTTTTGTATTTGCACACTGCAACGTTAGGTGCTTGTCCTTATTTGGCGTGACCCTCTGCTTGATTTTGATGTTCATGTCGAGCTGGTACTACGCAATCGCGGCTCTGATGCTGGCGGCAGGCATATACAAGTACATCGAATACAAAGGGTAGGTACTTCATCCTCTCATTCAGATCACACACCATCTATCTACACACCCAACGTTTTAATTGCCTGCTAAAACTTTGCTAAAACTGCCTGCCAAGGCATTTAACTTTAGTGCCATTTTTTCAAATATTTTTTATACTCATATATCTAAAATTTCAACAATTTAAAAAATATTTATTTCCATTTAAAAGTATAAAAAATATGAATTACTAAACTAGTGAAAGTAGTTGAATGAATTAAAATTTAATTACCCATCATTGCGTTGAAATTTGTATGTTCACAAATTAAATTAATCCAGCTTGGCTCATTTCTGTCCAATCAATTTACCATAAAATTATTATTCATGCTTACTTTTTGTTAAACGGATGCAATCATAAACTAGGAAATCAATCGAATGTTATTATTATAGATCTTTAATGCAGTCAACAAGTTTATAGAATCATACTCCATTTCAAAATCTAAAATGCGCCAACGTAAAAAAAAGATTCACAATCCGTACTTTGGACAATATAAAATAATTTCTGTTTAAAAGGGCTGAGAAAGAATGGGGCGATGGAATTCGGGGCCTGGCAATGTCAGCAGCGAGGTTCGCACTTTTGCGTTTGGAGGAGGGACCTCCGCATGTCAAGAACTGGAGACCTCAACTGCTCATTCTCATCAAGGGTGGAGAAAACCTGGACCAGAAGTACAGAAAACTGCTAACGTTCTCCAGCCAGCTGAAAGCTGGTTGGTGCTGCTTGCTACACATTTGAGTTTATTTCGGCTTTATTTTCTAATTATGGTGTTACTTTTTTAATATCAAAAATTTTTTAATTTTGTTCTTTTGGTTTTGGTTTTGATTTCGTTTCCACTTAATTTTTTTCACTCTCAATTTGCAAGCGTTTTCTTATTGAAATCTTTGACTGTCTGGCTGTCTGGGTGACTGACCGACTGTCTGGCTGGCTGACTGACTGGCTGGCTGGCTGACTGACTGCCAGACTAACTGACTGGCTGGCTGGCTGACTGACTGGCTGACTGACTGATTGACTGATTATTGACAGGTCGGGGGCTGACCCTGGTGGGGACGGTCCTTGAGGGGGAGCACAAACACCGCATGCACGAAGCCGAGGTGGCCAAGCACACCATCAACGAAGTCATGAAGAGAGAGAAAGTGAGCGGGAGTGATGATGATGCTGTTGATATTGATGATGATGGTAGTGATGATGGTAATGATGACGATGGTGCTAATGATGAGAAAGTGATGATTAAAACGAGAAAAAAACTATTTTTAATATTATTGTAATAAAAAAAGGATGACTATAATGATGGAGATTGCTGTGATGATGATGAAGATGAAGATGATGATGATTTGGATGATGAAAATTATGATAATGGAGATGATGATGGGGATGATTATGGTAGAGTTAAAAGAATGAAAATGATCAGAAAAATATTTCTGTAAAACGGATGATAGTGATGGTGATTTAATGGTGGTATTGATGGTCTGATAAGTGATCGCTACAAGAAAAGGAGCGGTAATTGATGTCGGCAAAATGACTTATGCAGTGGAAGTTTGCTCAGTTTGTGTGACTTCATGAACAAGAGATGTAAAATGACCTGGTTCGAACGCCGACACAAGCCTGACCTACGTGGGTGTGCCAAGTTACTCGCTGTTTTCAGTGTCATTCAAATTCAACGTAACGTTAAGATTAGTGGGAGATTAGTAGAGATGACACGAACCAGAGTTCAAGTACAGGTGATGGCAAAGATGATAAGATTAATTGTACTAATACTTGCAATGAAAATATAGTGGACAGTAATAATAATTATGATACTTTGGATGGTGATGATGATGATGATGGTGATGATGATGATGATGATGATGGTGATGATGAATGTGACCAGGATAATAATAACGACAACGACAACGTTTGTGATGTGGCAGCGTTGATGATTATGATGATTAGAGTTAAGGGTTGTGATGACGGGGTTGAAAAAATGAACGATGGTTTTGGTTACAGTGATAATGATAAATTAAAACGTGAATGAAAAAATGTGTATATGTGTGTGTGTTTGTAGGTTTGTGTTTGTAGGTTTGTCTGGGTTTGTTTGTGTGTGTGCAATCGTTAGCGAATAGAACAATGAATAATAAAGCTAATTATTAATTTCTGCAAAGGTCAAGGGCTTGGCGGAAGTTGTGGTGGCTCGAAACCTTGGAGATGGAATCAGCTTCCTGTGAGTGGATGGTTGTTTTCAAAAAACTTTCTGCCGTTCGATCAAAAACGTCAAATTTGCTCAAAATTTCATCATTAAAAAATGAAATGAAGTTGCTGGGAGGTGTAATCCATCCTCACAACAGGGTCGGCTTTTGGCATAGGCAAACTAGGCAGTCGCCTAGGGCCTCCGATTTTTATGGGCCTTGCAATGCAGATTAAAACAACATTTTTTTAAGAAATCCTTCTTCGATGAATTAATTTTATATACCTAACTGTTTTATTTTTAATTAATCGCAGTATTATGCAGCAAGAATTTATCATAAAACAAACGTATTCAGGTTGAAATTTTTTTTAAATATATAAAATTTTCTTGTGTACGTTTTTAAAAAATGTCACTTGGGGCCACCAAATTTATTTTGCATAGGGCCTCCCACTACCTAAGGCCGGCCCTGCTCACGATTTTGTAAGGCCAGATCTTCATCATTGCCATCACTCGCCAGTCACCGTTAAAACTAACAAAAATATTCATTGCGTTTTTGTCATCAATTTGAATCACATTTAATCATTATTATGACGTCATCATTAACATAATTTTATTCATCAGTTTCATCATCATAGATTTTCACAACCACTACCGTCATCATCACCACCAACATCATCGTCATCATCACCTCTTAAAGTATCCAGGACTCAGGTGTGGGTGGACTTCGTCACAACACGGTCCTCTTGAACTGGCCCGTGAAGTGGAGGCAGGAGTCCAAGGGTTACAAAACTTTCATCGGTCAGTTGGTGGTGGGTCAGGTGGCAAGTTGTCATTTGAACTACCATTCATTTAATTTCTGCGCAATTCAGAGACGACCATTCTCAACTTCAGGCGAATGACGCACATGCAAACAAATTGTTGGCCACGTCGTGTCATGCAGATTTACAACATTCACAAAACGAAAAAATGATTTCACAAAATTTGCGACCAAGCATGAAAAAATAAAAGGAATCCACTTTCGCAACCAAAATACATGATGACGTTCATTAATGATTAAAAATTAAATTCCACGCAGACACGATGAAGCTGACGGCTGACCGCCACTTGGCAGTCCTCATTGTGAAGGGCATCAATCAGTTCCCGGAGAATGGAGACCGACTGGGAGGCACGATCGATATTTGGTGGGTTGTACGTATCCTTTCATTCAATGTGCATCTGCGTTGGTCAGTCGCTCCAACGATCAGGAGATCTCTTTGTTTTATCTTACTCGAAATGGAAATTTTTGTTTTTTGATTTAAAATTTATTTTTGTGATTTGATTGAATGATTGAGACATGTTGAGGTCTGCTTCTTTAACCACTTGATGAACTAACTGCTCATCATAAAACTCGCGCTAACGAATGTCTGCCTGCCACGAATTGAAAACATTTGCAAAAATATCAACGCCATCTATAAAATTCAAAAACATTTCCGTCAACAACTGCAACAACAACAATTGTAACAACAACAACTGCAAAAACAACTACCACAACAACACTGACTGCAACATCAACTACAACTGCAACAACCACGATAACAACAACTACCACAACAACACTGACTGCAACTACCACAACAACGCTAACTGCAACAACAACAACAACAACTGCAACGCTAACTGCAACAACAACAACAACTGCAACAACAACTGCAACAACAACTGCAACAACAACTGCAACGGCAACAACAACTGCAACAACAACAACAGACGAGGGAGGCTTGCTGATGTTACTGCCCTTCTTGTTGACGCAAGGAAAAGTTTGGAAGAAGTGCAAGATGAGGATATTCACTGTAGCCCGTTCGTTCGGATGGATGGACAGCAAGATGGACAGATGGAAGAATGGATGGATGAATGGATGGATGAATGGATGGAAGAATGGAGGGATAAATAGAACAATAGATTGTCAAATAAATGGCTAAATAAATGGAAGAACGAATGAATGGATGGATGAATGGATGGATGGATATGGTTGAGTCAGAAATTCGTCCCGGGTGTTAGATGCATATGCCCTAATCCTTATCCAAATATACTGTAATGAGAGAGGTGTTTAAATTGAATGGTCCAAAAATTTTGATTGTAAAGGTTTTTTTAATTTTTTACAAACCTTCAAATCTCTCTCCGACGTAAGCAATAGATACATACACATTGATTGATAGACTGATGAATGGTGAAATGTGAAATAACTCGTTCTAATATTAGAGGATCATATGAATAACGTTTAGACCAAACAAAACAATTAGTTTTATCGACGAACGAACAACTAAATGATAATGTGAGCAACAAATAACGAAATAAATCAAATAACAGAAATGGAAGACAACAACATTCAAATTCAGAAGGACATGGAGAAGTTCCTGTACAACCTGAGGATCCCTGCCCAGGTCAAGGTCGTTGAAATGGTCAGTTCGCTCGAGCTCTTCTTGTTTATTCATTGAATTGTAAAAATTCGTTGAATTTTAAATCATTGATCGATCCTTCTATCTTTCATGATCCACACTACCACCACCACTACCACCACCACCACGCTGCAGCCCACCAACGACATATCAGCCTACACCTACGAACGAACCTTGATGGCAGAGCAGAGGAACGCATTGCTGGAGAAGATGAACATCAAGAGGGTGTCTTTAACCGTGAGTTCATGATGTTGATGATAATGATGGTGGTGGTGATGATGGTGGTGGTGGTGATGATTATGGTGGTGATGATGATGGTGGTGGTAATGAAGATGGTGGTGGTGATGATGATGATGATGATGATGGTGAAATTAGTGGTGGGGATGTTAGTGACAATATAATCAACGATTTAAAAGAGCCGTATTTCGCGCCGTTATTACGCAATGGCATGGTTCGAACACTGCCTACCCGAACCTGAAAGACCATCATGCGCTTGTGATGTGGCTGGTGCTTGCGCGTGCATACGTAATGAGTCTGTTGCGCGAATGTTTAACTACAAGTAGAGAATGAAATAACGTGCAAACCGCTCTGCGTTTGACAGAGCTGCACTATAAAAAATAAAAAATGATGAATATGCTACTGTACCTGATGTAACACGTTATCAGAATGCATGCACTGTTGATATTGTATCGAACACCTTACTCTTCAGCCACAAATGATAATGGACCAGGCCTACCTGTCAAACATCCAGCACCAGCAACAATCACCGAACAGATGCAACCACCCTGTCCAGCAGGCCTACTTCAGACCCACCCCCCAGAACAAATTCATCCCCATCAGAGACGAGGGTCACCTCAATTATGACGGGGCACGGGTCAGAAACACTTCCTTCATTTTTGTTCTTTATAATTTTTTAACTTTCACATCTTTTAAAAGTATTTTTTCAAAATATTTCCTGTATAATCTTATATTTTTTCTATAAACTATTTTTTTTATCTCCCAACTGTCTGATTGTAATTAGATAAATAAATTTTTATTTAAAAAAACATTTTGACTCTATAAATTACACAAAAATAATTGAACAATACAAATAATTTTTTGCATTTATTTATTTATTGCCATCTCTTCTTGGAAACAAAATTCATCACATTCATCTCATCAATCCACCACGTAAATCTACATAGATTCATTATGGTGATAAAGTAACAATTCATCATGATGACGTCACCATTCATTCAATTCATCAGGATGACGTCACGTCAGTTCATCATGATGATGTCACCATTTACTCAGTTCATCACTTTTCGCATCACCTTCCACAGGCAAGTGGGCGTTTCACAGTCATCCCGGAGAAAGATGACTCCCCTGAACACCACCCCAGTCTTGACCAGCAGCCACCACTGAATGGACAGCAAGCTCAGTCGGATCAGCAGCAGCATCACAACTTCGCCGACGATAACAAAAGCGTTGATTCGTTAGCTGGAGAAAGCAACAACAAAAATATGACGTCATTGGATGGAGGCGTGGATAACGGCACCATTAGCCAATCAGACGATGGCAAGTCGGTTGACGAGCATCAGTCATCTCGCATGGCCACACCTACATCTCCCATCACCACCAACACGACGGCAGGTGGTGGCAGCAGTGAGGACGGGGCGACAGGCAGGTGCAGCGCAAAACTCAACGTCGGGCAGAAAATGTTAGTTGCGAAATGCATTGGAAGATGAATGTTTAAGGACGTGACAAAGGTATCATCCATCATGTCAGACATGCAACAAGAAACGTAATCGAAAAATAATTTCTTTCCATCCAAACCCCTCAAAACAGATTTTTTTAATAAATTACAAATCATAACCACCAAAAAAACTATCACTACGTCAATTTTGAGTGAAAAACGATGTAAGTGTTCAAGGCGTTTTGATCCTGGTTTGCAGTTACTGGGATTGATGAGAAAGGAAGTGTGTGGGGCATTCATTCACACGTAATCCTATGGACTATGCATTGCATGTTGCTGCTGATGGTTGTGAGTGATGCATTACAATGAGCCATAAATGATCATCCACGCAGACGCAAGAACCAAAACGTGTTGAGGATGCAGACGGCGATCCGGTTGAACCAGGTGATCAAGGAGCACAGTTCAGAGGCCAAGCTGGTCATCGTTAACCTGCCTGGACCTCCGAAGGATTCCTCGGGAGAAAAGAGCTGTTAGTCCTTTGATTGATTGATTGATTGATTGATTGATTGATTGATTGATTGATTGATTGATTGATTGACTGACTGATTGATTGATTGACTGATTGACTGATTGACTGATTGACTGATTGACTGATTGATTGATTGATTGATTGATTGATTGATTGATTGATTGATTGATTGATTGATTGATTGATTGATTGATTGATTGATTGATTGATTGATTGATTGATTGATTGATTGATTGATTGATTGATTGGTAGGTTGTTTAGCTGGTTGGCTGACTGGCTGGCTGGCTGGCTGGCTGGCTGGCTGGCAGTTTTCTCAAGCAACATTTCGTTCATTTTTTAAATTTAATTTTAGTCTTCAAAGAGATCTTTTTATAAGATCATCACACATTTATTCTTTTTTTATTCATTAAACCATCTGTTCATCCATTTATCTTTTTAATAGTTCATTCAATTTTTTAATCATTCAATCATTCATTCATTCATTCATTCATTCATTCATTCATTCATTCATTCATTCATTCATTCATTCATTCATTCATTCATTCATTCATTCATTCATTCATTCATTCATTCATTCATTCATTCATTCATTTATTCATTCATTCGTTTGTTCGTTCGTTCATTCATTCGTTCGTTCGTTCATTCATTCGTTCATTCATTCATTCGTTCGTTCGTTCATTCATTCGTTCATTCATTCCTTCTTTCATTCATTCGTTTACTCATTCATTCATCTGTCCACATTTCATTTATTTATTCCTTCCATCCATCTGCTGCACAGACATGGACTTCCTGGAGGTGTTGATCGAGGGATTGGATCGAGTGCTGATGGTGAGGGGAGGGGGCAAGGAGGTCATCACCATCTTCTCGTAAGACGTGTGGACTAGGGCTGTGTGGTGGTGGTTGTGGTGGTGGTTTTGGTGGTGGGTTCATGATCGTGATATCGAGGATCGTGGTAATGATGGTGATCATGGTAATCATGACGTTGATTTTGTTGAATGATAATGATGTTGTTGATGGTGACGACGATGGTGATAGTGAGGTTGTTTGTCGCCATCTGCAGAGATTAAATGACGTTTGCCGCGTGAATTTTTTTTCCTACCGCACGTTCTCCAGCAAGATTTAATTAAGTTCTCCTTCCTGCTGCTTTCATGTGCTCTGTGACACTTTTTATGTCATTTATCATCATCATCATCATCCTCATTATTATTTTTGTTATTATTATTAATAATATTATTATTATTATTATTATTATTATTACTATTATTATGTGAGTTTGCGTACGTACATCCTTGAACATACACATATGCATTATTATAAAGTAAATATATATATATATATATATATATATATATATACATATATGTATATACATACAATTATTTATAAAGATCACTGCGTTTTCAACTTAATAGAAATTTTGGGTTTAGACTATCATAAATACAATTATCCAAGTTGAGTAATGCCGAGAACGCAGCGATCTTTATAAAATAATTGTATTTATGATAGTCTAAACCCAATATATATATATATATATATATATATATATATATATATATATATATATATATATATTAGGAGAGTTCAGCAGATATCAAACAATGTTTGCAAGTGAATTATTGTTCTGAAATAACAACAATGAATATTTAATTATATATTTTTGACTATTTGTATAATGTAACTGCAATAAAAACAACACCACAAACACAGCAGCAACATAACATAACATCATAGTAAATTGATAGAGAACGAGTTGTTGTAATTGTTGTCGTTTGTTAATGTCGCTGTTGTGTTTTTGTATTTAAAAGATAGTTTTATTGTCGATGTTAATGATTTTTTAAAAATTGATGATGTTGTTGTTGATGTGATGTTATTGTCAATGTTGATGTATCTAGAGGTCGATGCTGTTGATGATGTTGTTTTTGTTGTTGTTGATGTTGTTGTTGTTGATGTTGCTGTTGATGTTGATGTTGATGTTGTTGTTGATGTTGCTGGTGGTCTTTCAACTTTTTGGTGGTGTTGGAAAATATTTTAAATTGTTTTGTTAAATAACTTAAGCAGTGACGTGGACGACACGAGCAACAACATCATCATCATCATCATCAATATCATCATCATTATCAATATCATCATCATCATCATCATCAACATCATCATCAATATCATCATCAGTATCATCATCAATATCATCGTCATCATCACTTTTAGTTCGTTCATCATTAGTGCGTGTTGTAATAAATAAATTTGTTGTTTACCTCTTGTCAACTTATCAATTCATCTCTAGTCGCCATTCTTCGATTGCTATTTTTATTTTCTAACTCGCGGTTTCCGTGATCGAGTAACTCGCTGTAATGGGATCTGGCCACTTGTCTGTTAGTTACTTTCTTGCGTTTATAACTTTACTCTTTTTTAGTTTTTTGTTATTTCGATGGTGCGATGCGGTCCAATTTGAATGGAAGTGACCCAATTTGAATAAAAGAGACCTGCAAATTTTCCTGCTAGAGTTTTTTAATTTATTCGAGTTTGTCATAACGATGGTGCTGATGAAATTGATGTAAATTTTTATTATGAATGGTACTTCATTGCAGCAATCAATCATTTTCTTTTTCCAGTTATAAGTGTCATCATCATTCAAGTTGATCATCCTCAATAATGATGATAATAATAATAATAAGGTCATTTTATGTAGCGTCTTGACAAGCGACTGAGGCGCATCATCATTATTATCACAACAGACACACGGTGTACAAGTACACGTAAATGAACGCATCACACACCTGCATGTGACAGGCGGGGATCTCTTTACATTCAAACCCGGTCACAGCATAAACTATGCCAGGCACCTTAACCATTACACCAACGCGCCGCAAGCATCGTTTCTGAAGGTTCGAACCTCGGATGTTCATTAGACCAGTGCGCTTGTCTTCCACATAGTGCTGCTGTGGTGCCACTAACCAGCAGGCACATGTTGGCACTCGGCTGGACTCAGTGGTCTCTTTTAAGGACACTGCGCTAATGCAAACGCTGTCCTCAGTTTTCACCGCATGCTTTATTATTATTACTATTATTATTATTATTAATGCTATGTTACACTTGTTGTTATTATTATTACAATCAACGAAACTGATTTTGCAGTATTATAATGTGACCCAATTTATGGTGAGTTAATTCATTTATATTTATATCGCCAATATCATTGATTATCCTTCAAACTTATATCAGTATACATTATTATACGTATTCAATTGAATCCTTGTTTGACTTACCTTCATGAAATCTGTAACAGGCGTTCAATGGATTTTAAAGATGTTGTTATGTAAAGAGACTTTTACGTTGAGACATCGAACAAGTTAATGTGCTACATTTGTATATAAATTTGTACTTGATTGTTCACAATTCATCGAATGCACAATACATGTATGTAAGTGGGTGCTGCTTGCTTACTGAATTTATAAATGAAGGACTGTTAGATCTAAAACAGTGAGACATGCCAACACGTAAATAAACAAACAACATAAACATATATGTGTGTGTGCGTTCGTGCGCGCGTGTGTGTGTGCGTGTGTGTGTTTGTGTGTGTGGTGTGCTGCAAACATGTATGCACTGTACACAGTAGAGCACAATAATTTTGTGACAAACCTGTGCAGCGAAATGAGATACAAATTAAAATTTTAAAGAGCAACAACATCTCACAAACTTTCACAGAAAGTGAAACTGAAACTGCATGGAAATTACTGGAAAGTACCGTTACATTATCCAGAGTAAATATTTCATTAGATTCAAAACGTTGACACAAACGTTTGCAATCATTACGAAGCGCTAGATTTTTTACGTCTGCATAATAACTTATATTTTGAATTAACAAAGATGAATTTGTAACGTGACATTAAAATACAGGTTATATATTGAAGTTGTAACAGCTGTGTTGTTGTTGATGATGTATTAATGTAAAGATGACGATGACTTTAATAACGTTAACCATGAAGTGTAATTTGACGTGTTATTGTCAACCTTTTTTAACCTTTAACCTTGTAGTGGGTTGTGCTATTAATGTCGTTGTTCTTGTCCGAGGTGACTCTGCACAATGTTGTCGCAGTTGTCGTTGTGTCGCAGTTGTCGTTGTGTCGCAGTTGTCGTTGTGTCGCAGTTGTCGTTGTGTCGCAGTTGTCGTTGTGTCGCAGTTGTCGTTTTGTCGCAGTTGTCGTTGTGTCGCAGTTGTCGTTGTGTCTCTGCTGATAAACGTTCATCAAAGCGTTCTTTACATGTAATTGTGATTTTAATTCTATATTAAACTTGATTTATACATACAACACACACACACACAGAGATATATATATATATATATATATATATATATATATATATATATATATATAATGAGCATAATGAGTATAGTTTTCATAATAACATTATATAATTATAAAAAAAACATGGGGCCCGACGTAAAAGGGTCAAGCACTCAATCCACCACCGATAGTATTGAGTGTGGGGATACTATATTTTGACATCAAATGTTTTGAAGAAATGAAACAATTTGACAAATTTTTGATGAAATTGTTTTCAGTTTTGTTCAACTTGCAAACAAAAATAACTGAAAAAAAAATGAAGGATGGACAAGGAAAAAAAATTATGCGCAACATTTTTAGCAGAAGTTCGTTGGCAAGTTCTATATATAGAAAGAGAGAGAGAGAAAGAGAGTAAGAGAGAGAAAGAGAAAAAAAAGAGAGAATGAAAGAGAAAGAGAGAATGATAAAGAGAGATTGATAGAGAGAGAAAGGAGAAAACATCTAGCAGTAATTAAACGCTATTCTTCAAGTTCTTATACTCATCGTTAGTGCATGTGCAAATGAACATTTCTTTGTCTCGTGCTGTTTGATGGTAAAGTAGCAGCAGATGGTGGCGATGATGATAACAAGGAAGATAGTGATGAAGGTGAGAACATTGGCATTGATAATCATCGTTGGCGAGTACCGTTGGTAACAAAAATATAATTCAAAATGATAGACAGTTTGATGTTCGTATTTTTACCAGTATTGGAACTTTTACTTTAATTTTTTTATAGTTACAAATTACATTACATATAATATATATATATATATTATATTATATGTAAATATATATTATATATATATATAATATATATGTGTGTGTTTTATTTAATTATTTATTTATTATAAAGGCTGATTCTTTGCTAATTTCATTTGTTTAAATAATTTTCACTGAGTGATTAAATAACACGCACGCACACAAACATATATATATATATATATATATATATATATATATATATATAAGTTGTTGGAAGGAGACCATATTTAATACAGTATTGTATGAATTCTACCGAATTGTTGGCATTAATCAATTTAAGGTTTGTCTCTTCAATTTTCCTTACTAGAATTTTTTGGGAATTGCTCAATTTATTGGAAATAAAATTATTATCCAAGTTCATCATGGGAATTTAATAACTAATTCTCTATCCAATGCATTACAGAGGACTGTAATGCATTGGATAGAGATTTAGTTACAGTTTTATTAAATTTTTATGATAACCTTGGATAATAATTCTATTTTCAAAGTAGACAATTTCCAGAAAATTTTAGCAGGTAAATTTGAAAAGACAAACTTTAAATTGATTAATGCCAACAATTCGATGAAATTTCTACAATACTGTATATATATATATATATATATATATATTATATATATATATACATATACATATATATTATATATATATATATATAATTTATTTGCTTATATTTTTATATACATTAAGCATATGTTTATATAGTTAGGAGGTATTCATTTACTTTAAAAATTTTCATTTGAATATTTAATAATTAGTTATTAATTTGTGTACTAGTTTTCATTATTTGTTTTTTATGACGAAGTTTTTTGAGGTGTGTGCTACTGATCGGTTAGCGTTGTAATGTGCGTGTGCTGTTTAAATAACGAATTCTGGATTTTCATGTTTGGAAATATATATTCATTTTATTCTCACTGATTTTTCATCTGTTAAAAGTTTGAGTGATTTTTCTATATATTCATTTATTCATTCATCTGTTAATTCATTCATTCGTTCATCCATTCATTCGTTCATTCATTCGTTCATCCATTCATTCGTTCAATCATTCATTCATTCATTCGTTCATCCATTCATTCATCCTTTCATTCATTCATTTTCCCATTCGTTAGTACGATTAAATTATGTAATATTAAATTAGTTGAACTTTCTTGTGTACCGTCAACGCATCGTTCGTTTTAATACTTAGACCACTGCTGATCAATTTTATTATTTCGTACTCCTCATACGTTATAAACATATTTATTTTATATGTCAGTCTACATGAGAATATATATATACAGTCCTGCAAACGTATATGTTGTTTTATAGTATTTACATTTTAACATATTAATTTCATTCGTCATTTTACATGAGAATATAAAAATTTTTAGATATTTTTAACATAAGTAGATGGAGAAGATTTAAAAAGAATATGGAATGCTGTATGTGATCATGCGATTCTAAACGTATTTTATGTTCTATAGGAATGATGGAGGGCTTATAATTTATTAACAAAATTTCGATTGGATCTCTCTAATAACCTTCATCGTATAATATTATTGCATGAAAAGTATTAATTAAATTAAATTATAACTGCGGTCTGCGTGCACTCTCGAGTTGAGATTGCGTTTCGTCACTGAAATGCTAGGATATATTTAACAAGTAGGTAAATCTAACAGCCGCGTGAATCTAAGGTATTATTAACCAATTGTATTTCTTAGTCTTTTTATATCTTCTCCTACGTGTACTGTGCGTGTTTTATTTTAATTTACTATTTATTCGCGATGTTTAGACAAAGTATAGTTCGATTATAACGTCATTAAATACTGGCAACACTAGCAACTGTACGCTAAAAAGATAAGCCACGTATACTCCTGTAATGTAATTATTAGCAGTTTAACATACAAATGTAACATCAATGTGTCAGTCTCATACTGTTAGCGCAATTACTTCTCATACCAACATCATCACATTCGTTGTCCGCAAATTTCAAACTCATATCACTAACCAACTGACCCTTCATACAATTTTCACCGCGATTGAAACTTGGCTTAACTGCGGACAAGACATCGTCATTCATCTTCAGTTCAACTTTCCACTATCCAACCAGAACACGCATTATTTGAAATATTAGTCTGAACAGTAATAGATTATCCTACGGCAAATGATGCATATTATTTTATTAAATGCTAACAAAAAAAAACAAAAATTAATTTTGGCTGTTACGCTGTTCCATATTTGCGATGTTTTTAAATGTATGAGATTCTTAAGTTCTGAGGTAGCCTGACCAGGAAGTTTTTTTTTATCGCGAGAAGGGAAAATTGAATTTATTGTTAAAATATTTTAATGATAGCTAGGATGAAAACGTTTTCTTCAATTTTATAAAATAAATTTATTGTCTCGTTGTTGAAATATTCTCGTTTATTATTATTTTTTGTTTTTCAATAAAGAATTCAAATAAACATCGTGTCCCTGTTATATTATAAGCCAACTTTTTAAACCAATTTTTTGAAAGAAATACTTGTGGGTTTATTGACTTTATTTTTTGTTGTAATTTGGAAATATGTGGCTATGATCTTAAATTCTCATTCTCTTCCACAAGCGACTTAAAAATTAATTATCAAATTATAAAGCTTGTAGCAATGTTTTTAAATATTTTTAAATTTACAATTTTAATTTAAGATAATGCTTTAAGTTTACATAATTTTAGCAAAGGTTTTAAAAGTTGTGTTTAAAATAATTTTTGTCAAATTTAATATTGAAGTTTACTTTTAATAAACGTTTTTTATATAATGATCATTTGCACGCTTTCTCGGACGTTTTAATTTAAATAAACTTGTTTACGGTTATGACTTTTTTCTGTTGAGATTTTGTGATGTATCGCATGCAAACAACTTCTTCTTCAAATAAAATAATTAACAACTCAACCAAGAAGAAAAATAGCGGCTCTATAAAATTGCCTCCCATAATTGCTAGTAACACCAACAGCAATAGTTTAATAACTTCTAAAATTATTAATGATAGAAAGGGTAGGACCGATAGGAACACAAATTCCTCCAACAATGTAAAGCTCTCATTTAGTAAGATATCGAAAAATGAAGTGAGCGAAAATACGAGTATCGTAAGTGCAAACGATAAAGATGAGTGGAGAGGAAGTTGTGAGGAAAACGAAACAGAAGAAGCTGATGAGTGCGCGGAAGGATTGCTTGATTACGCGGACGATGTTTATGAAGATGTTATAAATTACGAGAATCAAATAGGTTCCGTTGAAAGTCTTGATGAAGAAGAGGCGTATGAAACAAAAGGTGAAAGAAAATCTAGTTATCACAAATTAGTCAGATGGTTGACAACTTCAATAGCAGCTGGAGATTACTCGGTAACTTCTAAAAGAAAGAAACGATTGATTTCTAGTGGTGTTAGTATGTCAAGCAGTCAAAATGATAGCAATGACTTTGCATCAAAATCATCAAAAATAGACAAAGATTCTCGCATTTCTCATCACTCCCAACCAGACTACCAATCATCATTATTTAGATCCAGAGAGAGCGAGAGTAAATTTATGCAGTTAGTGGACAATTCCAAATTTAGATTCGTTAAACCTGACAATGAATTTCTGCTTGCCGGAGCTGGAGAAGGCAGTGTAGACGAAGAAGACGACGAGGAAGAGGAAGAAACGTTTACGTTGAAATATAAATTATCCGAATCGGATTCTTTGAAAGATATAATTTCTGATGATGATGATGATGATATAAAAACCAAATTTTTTACTTTGAGCGCTAAAAAGAAAAATTTACTAGATGAGCATGACAGAGACGATGAAGAGCCAATAACGGAGGAACATGAACGAGAAGCAAAGCAAGAAAAAGGAAACTCGGCATATAAAGAAAATATGCTCTTAGAAGAAGATGAAAATGGAAATTTAATTCATTTTGAGGAAATAAGGTAAATCTCGAATGAAAATAATAACTAACTAAAAATGTTTATAAGTCTATTGGTGTTTTTGACGAAAACGTTGGAAGGAGTGATGTAATTTGTGTTATATTACAAATGTGCGTAAGTTTGTGTAATCCGTTCGCATACGAGTTTTTCGTTTTTTATTCAAATTAGGCTAAAAATATGATTCAAAACAGCATATCTATTTTATTTCAGTGATTCGTCTTTGAAGTAATGTAAACATTACAAATAAAGATTTGTTTAAATTTTGTTTACAAGGGCTAATTTAAAGACACGTGTGTTTGCGGATCGAACATGTGAAGACGAACCAAAAAACGGAGAACAAGCCAGGCGCAAAGCACGTGGTTTGAAGTTTAATCCAGCATTACTTTTATCCAACTATCGATTGAAAGATCTTTTCACGAGAGATGAAAATGGTTGGGCGCCAATTCACTACTGCGCTTTTCGCGGTTTTCGACAATGCATCAGCATAATACACAATGAAGTACCCGTTATGATAGAATATAGAACAAAAGATGATAGGCTTTTCACCACACCTTTTTTGCTAGCAGTTATGAGTTTGGATTTAGAAACAATAAAACTTTTCATAGCGTTAGTTCTTACTCATTACGTAAAGAAAAAAATTACTAAAGCGTCATTAAAATTATAAACAATGTGTTAATTTTTTTTAGCTTGGGTGCAAATCTTTCAGCTAGAGATGGCTTAGATCATGATGCCGTCCAATTATGCACGTATAAGCAAGCCATTACCTTAATAAAATTTTTCATTGAACTTGATGATCCTCGTTTAAAGGTTTGGAACATCTTGGTCAGATCTTTGGAATCTGAAAATGATTACGATGCCTTGGCGACGGCAAAAACTCTTCGCTTGTTAACCGATATTGAACCTCCGTGGACTGCAAGTTGTTACTGGAAACCGTTATACAGGAAAGGGATAACAAAATACATTACAATGGTTTTGAATGCAGATTTTTCCGTTGAAGTTAAGGTGTATTTAGACATAAATGTTTTTAAAATTTAACAATACATTTACTTGTAAATATTAATAGATTGAAAGCTTAGAAACAATTCTCCACATAATAGCACCGAATATGGTGAAAAAAGCGGCGGTTGAAAAACATGACATTCTACCTATTCTTATACAACTTTGTCTTCATGAAAATGCTGTCATAGCAGATTTAAGCGTTCAGTGCCTTATTTCCATTCTTAGCGTTGGTAAATATTTGGAGCAATGCATTAACACGAATCTACTAGGAATATTAATTAACTCTATGTCTAGAAAACGACAACCGTTAACTTTCAAAAACACACTCGATTTAATGGCATTACTGCTTTTTGGTCATTCAGATTTTCAGCATGAATTTAATCTTATCGAAAAAAGTTTTTTGCAAATTGTTGGCAGATTCAACAAAAACAAAAGCAAGATGGTCTCATTTTCTCTTGTGAGAGTCGTCGAGTAGGTTTTTGAACATTTAAAAAATTATACGATTATTAAATTTTTCCGATTCACTAAAAGATCTAAAAATAATTTTAACACGTGTTACTAGGGCTGCAATGAATAAACACACAGTTAATCAAAATAATTTTGCTAAATATGGTTTAGCCGATCACCTGGTTAAATTTACTAAACTTCGAAATAGAAAATTGATGGTTGCGACATTAGCAGCAATTAGAGCAATGTGTAAAAATAATCCTTACACTCAGAAAATTCTAATCAATGCGGACGCCGTTCCAGGAATAGTTCTTTTGTTAAAAAAAACTCGGTACCTGACAATACAAGAATTAACAGCTTCTACTCTTTGGACAATTGGTGGAAAGTCTTTTCAAAATTTGTGGAGAATTGCTGAAAGCATTGGAGTCAAGGTTGCAAATTTGAACAATTTCTTAAAATATTTATATATTTTTTTTAAAATATTTATTTATGACTGACGCTAACAAAAACTAAAATAGTTTTGTTATTCAAATCATGTGAAGGTTTTGGTTGAATTTGTGGAAAGTCATAGTGAAATTTTAGAGTTCATTGGTGCCGATGGCTTGGCCATTCTTAACAGCGCTCCGCTTGGAGTCCATGATGCGTTTAATGCATGTTCCGGAACTCAGGTGCTAACTAGGCTGATGGTTAGAACAACGGACAGGAGGACATTGCTGGCCACAATAAGAGCCATAAGACACAGCTGTTACAAGTCCGTAATCTCATTTTCAAATTCTAATCAACGTAGCTAATATATCATTAACAAAAGTTTGTCAGGCTCATATTAATAACTTAATTGTATAAGTTCTTGCGATATATAACTTTCAACAATTATCGTATCTATAAAATCTGTTTATAATAGATCGGCGCTTATTAAGCATCCAGGAAATCAAAAACTGGCTGTCGGTGATTACACAGTTCAAGGATGTGTCAATTTGTTGCTTGATATAATAAACAGTTGCAACTTTAAAGACCCAATTCTTATAAAGGCTGAATGTATCATGGCTCTTGGAAGCATGGCTTTAGGTTTGGAAAAAATTTTTTAGTTGCAGCCTTGTATATAGAATACACACATATGATTGTAACAAAAGTATTTATTAACGATTAATTATTATTATTATTATTATTATTATTGGTGGTTATAATAATTTGTTATATTGTTAAGTAATTCAAAGAACACTGAACAAATGTTTAAACACGATCTACTAGACTAGAAAATAGAATATAATCCAAAATCTAAACGCACTTAACATTAATCAAAATATATTACGACAAAATAATTTTGTGAAAATTTCATCCAAGTGGTTTAATTTCGTTCTTTTTTATTTCTGCTCACAAATTATTTTTAACCTAACAGTAAATACTGCTTCTCTGCAAGAGCTCTTGAACAACAAGAGTTTCAGTTTTTGTCTGGCAATAAATCTTTTGAAATATGAAGATGAAGATATCAGAGCACTGGGTGGTCAGACACTGGCGATAATGTGCTACAACATGACATCAACTCAATCTGAAATTGCAACATTCGGCGGAATTTATTATTGTGACTTTAAAAAATGGATGCTGGAAGCTAAAAGCGATTTGAATAAGTGTCATTTTGCTTTCCAGGTGGTTTTCATTTACAATTAATATTTGTTATTATTAACTAAATTTGTAAGCTGAGGATGTGATCAGATTTTTTAAATCAGCAAAATATTTTTAAAATAAAAAAGTTGATTTAAAAAACATTGGAACATTTTCAGCTTTTTACATTAGCTAGGGTGTTTCCCGATGCCAAGCCAGCTACCCCAGCCGCTGAAGGTTAATTTGCTTACGTTCTTAATTTAGTTTTTGCGCATTTGTTTTGTGTTTATGTCTGATACATGGCAACCTTGATATTTAACTATCTTATTTTGTAACTTTATGGCTCGTCCGTGTGTTTCTGTGAGCAGGTGTCTGGGCCCGCAAGATATGATATAAAAAAGCATAGATTGTAACTAAATTTTCATTCTTTTTTGTTTGTTTTTATAACTTCAGTGACGGATCTAGGAGCTGGGAGCTAGTGCCCCCCTCGTTGTGAGCAGTAATTGTATTAACATTCATTGTTTCAACCGAAAAAGCGCCGTTTTTGACAAAAAATGACGTGAAAAGCAAAAAAATGGTTGTCAGCGTCAGCCAAAAATAATGGTCCCTCTCATCAAAATATTTGACATTTAAACACATTGAAACATTTTTCAAAATTCCTCCAGTCAAGGTTTGAAAAATTTCCAAAATTTAGACCTTCTCCGAAGTTGTCTAATAGATCCGCCACTGCGTAACTCCATCGTAGTCTAAAGTTTATTGGACGCAATACTTTTAGATGAAAATTAACCTACACTATTGATTTAGTTTATTACCAGCAAAGATATTTTTGGTAATTTTATCAAGTTATAGAGCAGTAGTGACAAAAATTTTACAAAATCTAAAGTTTGATTTTTGACCATAATTTTCTCACGCTTGAATAAAATTTTAAATGAAGTTAAATTTCCAATAGACGCACCAACTTTAATAACAGGGATTATTCAGTTGTTTGAGTTTCTTAGTCTACCCAGCTCTGATGACTTCTACAAGCAAGAAAGCATAACGGCTGTTTTGTGTCAAGCTTGTAATTACATAGCCGCATTGTGTCACTCCAGGCCTGGTTTGAAATTTCATTCGTAAATGTTACGCATTAGTTTTTTTGTTTTATTGAGTTTTGTAATAATTGGTTGTTCAACCATGAACTAATTGTAATTATAGAAATAGTTTTCACAACGAGCAGGTGTTCCTGATTCTTTCATCGCCATCAAGACTTTGGAACACCTGTTTAATTTATTGACCAATTCGTTTGAACAGACCAGAGCATCAGCTGCCATCGCTTGTGGCTACCTCACTTTCCACCCTACAGCTAAGAGATGGCTGCTGCGAAAGTTAGTTTATAAAATATTTCAATTGTTTCCATCGAAGTATACAAAATTTCAGCATATTGTGAAATTTTTTGGTCGATTAAAACATTAAAAAGAGTTTGATTGAAACATATACTACGTACTAATATATTGATGAAAAAATGCATTATGTCAATGCAGGTTTCGGCAGGACACCTACCTCTTGGATGTGTTGCTCTTCTACACTCAGGACACAAAATGTAACTCTGTGCTTTTAGAGAATTGGAAATATTTGGAATACGTGGGACTGCCTCCTAAGGAGTTAGTTAACAATTGCAGATCATTTCACACGTTATCGTTATTCAAACTCTTAGCTTTATTTGGGCGCATAAAAATTGGTGGGATGTGTAATGTATTTTCTTCTATCTTCTTTCTTGCGCTTTTTCCTTTCAGGACATTAGTGACCATCGACCTCCACAAAACCCGATCTTTAACACTTTGTAGTAGTTGAAATGTGGTGATATTCAACAAGTGACCCAAGGACTTCACGAATGTGATTCGTTGTTGACCGCGATCTCTTTTCCCTGCAATCTTTTCAGTAGTTGTTAGATTAAATCTAGACATAATATTGAAATGTTATGTATAGCATATCATATTGCCTTTCACGAATAATTTTTTGTCGTCATTTTTGGTGACCACACAAGGCAAAATGGCCTTCTGACTTTTTTAAATAAAAGGTTCAAAAAATAATGTCAGAAGCGAGTCACATGAAAATTATATATATATATATTTTCAACTATTGTTAATATTACATATCATTTAGCAAATAATTTTGCATAAATTTTTTGAACCATTCAAAACTGCTTAATAAAGCATGCGTCGAACCCTGCAGAACTGTGTACAAACTGTATGTATAACATAAACATTTGACTTTGAACAGGTGTGTATATATTTCTGAATGTACGTGTGTATACATGTATATAGATATATATATTTGTAAAATTAGGTAAAAAATTTTCATTTATACAAATTTTATCAAATGCGATTGAAATATTATTATTATTATTATATTTTTTAATTAAATTTTTTATTTTTCTAATCAATTTTTTAAAATTATTATTAAAATTATATATTAAAATGCCAAGGTTCATTTAAAAAAAATTTATTAAATAGAACTAAAAATAATTACAAATAATATATTTTCATCTCTACTTCAGTTAAATTCCTGTTGGTATGTGTGTTGGTATTGGTACCACTCCTACATTCGTCCTTCTGTAACGTAAATCGCGATTTTTATTCATTCTCTGTTAATATCTTATAAAATACGGACTTCAACTATTTTCTCATGTAGGTCAAACAATTAATATTCATTTCATCAATCTATAAGTCAGTTTGATACTTCTTGCCAATCCAGAACCTCTGCCCATCCGCTCGCAAGAATTAAATTCCTTTTTTGAACTTCCTCTTCACCTTAATTTTGTTTAGTCAAATAGAACATTTAAATTATATGTATTATTTATAAAATTAGGGTTGAGACTGTCGTACAAACAATTATTAAAAAAGTCAATTATGAAAATATTAATAAGTAATAAATGTGTGTGTGTGTGTATGTGTGTGTGTGTGTGTAATTTAAATTTGATTCATATATCAAAGCCTTTTTTAAAAAATTTTTCTATTAACCTGCCGAACAGTTTGTCCAGGGGCATTCTTATTCGCCAACGTTTCGATCAGCTGTTGAGTGAGCCGCGCCCACACATCCTGACCGGAGTTGAAGACCCACACAGCGGTGTGGTTGGCACGTCAACTGTGGAGAAGGATGATTACGAAGATGAGTTGGTGTACACAGACGACCCCCCTCAAAGAAAAAAAGTTATTTCTTCTAAGTCTAAGGTGGGCTGCACTCTATCAGCTGAAGTCAGATTCTAAGAATTTGCCTCAATATATTACAATTTTTTTTAATCTCCAAAAAAACAAGCTTTATTCGTTGAATGGCGCACATGAGTAACAAATATAAACCGTTATCCTTCATTTTGTAACCAAAATAAATATACGGAAATATTTTTATCTCAGTTATAAAATAGAACGCTATAAATTGAATTCAATTGTAACTGTATCTGTAAATTATAACTGTAACTTATTTTTCAAAATTACTTTTTGTTATAGATCGACACCAGATTAACAGTCCTTCTGCACGAGCCACAACCAGTGAGTACTTTTACCAATACATTAGCTTAAATTTATTTCTTGGTCATGTTGTTTAGCATTGGGTCAGTTATTATAAAAATGACTTGTAATTCACTGAAGCACCGTTATTGCGAATGATGCAGATACCCTGCTTGGTTCGTTTGCACGAAGAACGCGCAAAAAAGCAACGGGATTTGGATGAACAAATGATGATGGAAAAAATAGAGAAGGCGCATGACCTGGAGGAGGAAGAAGAAGAGGAGGAAGTTGTCGATGGAAGTGATGATGGAGTTGTCGATGGAAGTGATGATGGAGTTGTCGATGGAGGTAATGATGGAGAAGGTGATGAAGATGGGGAAAGGGGGATAATATTTCTTCCAGTTGACAACGATGCAATAGAATAGAATAAGCAACAGCTGAATTATAGGTAACCAGATGATCAATACAATACAATAAACTTTACATTACATTTCTTCAATTAGTAATATTTTTTCAATTTATGTTTTGTTAGTTTATTGAAATAGAATTACGTTACATGGCATCTCTTGTTTATCTTTGTTTGGTTTGAACGCGTTTTCAATACTGAAAAAATCAATATTTTGATAAAATAAGAATGCTGTTCGCTTAGGCTATTCAGGCAAGACACGTTTGAAGCGTCCAAACCTGAGCCGCGATGTTAACAACACTAATTCAGATCATTAACTATTTAACTTTGTTGGTTTTTATTCTATTAAAAAATACAAAAATTTATTTGTTTTAATAAAAAAAATTTAAATATTCTTGCGCTTTTTACATTTACAATTTCAATTGACTCTCCATCACTTATTATTTTATTTTGATTTATGAAGAGTGACTATTAAGAATAATAATAATTAGATGAATATATTTTATATAATAAGAGTGGTAGCCAATAACGTCATAGCAACGTATTAATAACTTCTATCTACAACACTACAACACAGCCAACTGTATTAATTGCAGTGGTAAATTATGTCGAAAAAAGTGCTTGGTTATACAAATTCTTTATATAAACTGCAACAGGTGCTGAAGATGATTGAAAAATTGAAATAGGTTCTTTACACTAGAGAATGAATTGGAAAACCATATATTAGTCTAACTTTAATAAAATAAATATTGTCGACAAGAATTTGGTTAGAAATATTGAGAAATGTAATAACGCTAGAAATTTGGTTGATTTCATAAATTACTTCATTAATTACGTCTTTTACCAGTCACTCAAAACCTATATAAACGGACACAAAAAAACAAAACCCCTACTGAACACTGATGGTGACAAATGATTGTCAAAAAAAGCTTTTTTATGTTGGAATGTACATAAATATTTAAACAAAAATGCCAAAAATGAATAAAAATTTTGTTCTTGAACTGAACAAACATGGTAAAGAACTGAAACTCGTCATACGAAAACTTGAAAAACTCAATGGCAAATTGATCAACGCACGCAATGTTGTGATATTTTTAAACAACAGTATATCAGATAGTCTCTACTCATATATATATATATATATATATATATATATATATATATATATATATATATATATATATATATATATAATATATATATAAAAAGTGTTTAAGAAGTATAGTGAAGTTTGCCATTGTTTGTAAGCTGAATGAATCACGCCAGCGGCAAGCAGCAGGAAAAATTATTTACTGTGCACCTGCTGAAGCGAAACTTTTTGGAAAATGTTTGCAAATCAATTGAAGATATCGGCAAAATGTTTACAAAACCCATCTTAATGCAACAACAACAATTTCTTAAAATTATCTTCACAGAAATAAATGATCCGAGATTGGATTTAAAAAATTATTTAACAAAGCTTAGTGTTTTTTAGCTATTAAATTATTATCGGTCGAAATATGTTGTTCGTCCAATCCCGATCCTCGTACGAAGTAGTAATATGAATCAGTTAGAAAGTTTGTGGAATAAAATCACGTAAATATGGCAAGCGAACATTTCTGTAAAATAAAATTGCGATTACAAGGTTGGTTTTTACGTTAATAATATCTTTTTTTTCATTGGTTTAAAAAAATTTTGGATGAAACTGTTTTTCATTACAAAGTTTACCGCATAAAGTTATAAAGTTATTTTTACTAATAGAAAATGACGCACTCATTTTTAGAATAAAAATTAATTTACAATATTGCCAAATTTTATGGACCATTAAAATTTCACAGCCCATTTCCGAATAAAACGTTTTTTGGACCCGTTTAAGACTACGATGTTGATAAGCGTTGTTAAGCGGAATTATGATAAGACCCAGCAATCATGCAAAACTAATCATTAACTTATCTATTCATTAACTCGTGCCGCATTATCATTCATACAATCAACAACAAATTCCCTCCCAACAACAATCAATGGACTGTTTCCATCCTTCACAGCTCCAGAATTCGAAGAACGTATTGCGACCTTTCAAGAACTCCACCTGCCTGGTGACGTGCAGTTCGTCTGTCAACATCGATCGCAACCGGCCGCCCAAGTGAAGTGGTACAAAGATGACGTACCATTGGAGGGGCAGGATGATTGCAGGATGAACTTTTTAAACAATTTCGATTCTCAAAATAATGTAGCTGTGTCGAGGTCGGTTTCATTTTTATTAAGCCGTATTTGTTGGGTGTTTATCGACGTAGTTATGAGCAGCAAAGTAGAAATAGAGTTGTCAGGATTAAAATAAAAAAATTAGCAGACTTTTGTTAGTTATTAGTATTTACGTTTTATTAATAATTCTGGATTTTGACTTCAAATTGTATTACATTATCAGCTTTTGTAGTTTTTTTTTATAAGACCATTATTTTAGCAATAAAAAATAAAAATAAATTTCATTATAGATATAATTAATCAATTTTAAAACTTGGAAATAATAAATCATTATCATTTAAAAAATTATTAAATCAACAATAACAATCACAATCAAACTTAAATTTGAATTGAAAACGTTCTCACATTTGAACATCATTCACAAATCAGCTTGCTCATAAAAGCGGTTAAGAAAACCGATGAGGGGGCTTACCGGTGCACCCTGGAGAACAGGGAGGGCCTCGCATCAACTACAGGCTACTTATCGGTTCTTGATCCTCAGTGCAACATCACCGATGTTGAACCGTTTGATCTACAACACATTCAATCTCTTCTGCAAATGAAACAATCCACCGATAGTATTGTGTCACTACTGCAGCAACAAGAGGACAATAATACTGCTGGTTGCGGTAAATTATTATCACTTGATTCCAACAATGTTAAAACTTCTGACAAAATCATTTTGACGCTAGCAGCCGAAGTTATAAATGACAGTCATAACAATAACGAAGAAATTGGCGCTAACAACATTAACTCTTCAATAAGCGCACCAAACATAACGAATAATCTGACATTTGCTAGCGGTAGAAGAGAAGAAGCTCATTCCAAGAGCATTCCGACTGTTCTCACTATTTATAACGATTCTGATATTTCTTCGGTTTTCACTAACGCAACACACGCAAGCCAAAAATCTGCCCCCACTCTAAAAAGATTTCCGAAACGGTCAAATTCTTTAACATCTGCCAAGAAGAAAATTTCATTTGATGATGACTTTCAATTGAAGAAATGCCCAATCGCTGATAAGCGTCACGAGTATCGGGAGAGGTATGGATGTTACGGTGGGTGTAGCAGATATGCAGATGACAATACGTATGGTTGTTATGGCAGATACACTGCCTACAGGAGAGAGAGTGAGGAACTCATAACGGAAGCCAAGTCAATCATTGATGGAATAGTTGGTTAGTCAGTTACAATGTTCACTTTCATCTGATTATAAAAATTAATCAAACCAACATCGGTTAATTTAATTGAATATTTTAAAAAATGAAATAAATAAAATTTTAACAATGTGAAACATATGGATCTTTTTTACATTAATACTTACTAAATTAAATTACTGTGATCGATCACACCAACGTCATTTCAGGTTGCAAAGATATGGTGACGCTCAGCTCTGGTAAAATTAGTTCGACGTCCAACAACAACATCAACACATCAATTACTTCAGCGATGATTAATGATCGCGATAAAAATATTGGTGGCTCACCTCAGCAGCAAACTGTCGTCAACATATACACTGCCATCAAAGATTCAGAGAGCGATGTTTTTTCCCTTCGAAAGAATTTCAAGACAGTCGAAATTGCATCGAAACTTGAACGGTCAATTAGTGACGAAAAAAACCATCTATACGACTTCATTAAAACAAGAAGCACTTGTAACACTAATGGCAAGTATGATCTTGTTGAAAAAAAAACTGACAACCTTCCCGATAACTACACAAAAATCAACAAATCTGATAACATCTGCAACGCCAGTAGCAGTATTGAAAACGAAGATCTCGTCACAAAAAGCCATGACCAATGCGATAATGACGTCTGTGACCCTGATAATACAAAATGTCTTTCTATGAGGAGTGCCAATATCGCCTCGCCGTCGACGCTTTCTGATATGAACCATTGCAAGCACTTTTGTCTTGGTAGTGATGGTTTCGACAAGAATAATAAAACTAACGAGCTCATTTCTAAATTTTCTGACGTATTCACAAACAATCGTAATATTAATGCAAACAAACCAAATGTAAACAATAACATCAACAACGCTCCCCTAATTAGCAATATTTCGTTACCTAATGACCAGAAGAACAAAAACTTTCTTAGTGTGAAAAGTGAAAAAATATTCAATTCGAAAAACATCAATAAGATCCGTTTGAATTGCGCAAAAAGTGGTTTGAGTTGCGCAATGAACAAGGAAGCAGCACCTAAGGAATTTCTGCAAAACCAATACGCGGACAGCTATCTCGCAGGAAAACTGCAACAGCCTCAAACAGGGCACCGTACATTTGAGAGCCCCTACGATGAAAAGGAGGAAGATGCTGATGATGGTGATGGAGGTGTAAAAGATGCTGGTTTGTGTGCCGGAGACTGTGCCTATGATGACAGAAATACTTTAAATGAACCGTTAGTACATCCAAATTCATTCTCACTGAAATAGTTTATTATTTTTGTATCATAATTTTTTTATCTTGAGGTGCGCTAGCATTTTCCCGCATCGCACACACACCTCACCATTGAACTTAGAGCAAAACGAGACAAAAATCAATATTAATGTATATTAATGTAGCTTAAACAACTTTTTTTAATTCGCTTTTGAACGCGTAAAAAGACAATCCGGACAACCTGGACGAAATACAGAGCGTGAGACTCGAGGATGGATTTCAAAGCTTTGGTCCGACCGCTCTTTCTCGTACTTGTTTTTTTTTTCTTCATGACCTCGGAACGTGTTTGACTTTAGACATTTAATTTCAAAAAAACGACAAAGGTCTGGAAAAAATCCATTCAAACATTGGAAAAAATATTTTTCAGACCTTGTAAACAATGCGTTTTTAAATTATGTGTCGATGCAGTCTGATGAGACTCGATTGGGTTTCGAATCGCTCACAACTTCTTTGGAAGCACTTTTCTGAGTGAACATGACATGCCATTTTTGGATGAACACGACATGCAGTTTTTGGAGACATAAAACAAACCGATACTTTAACTTAACCAAAAATGAATGAATGTGAAAACCAATGTTTTTTGTACCTGCGTCCAAATATATGGAAATAAGTCTGATGTAACCTCACTGAGTAGAGTACTACGATTTGTTAATAAGTTAGTGTCTTCACATTCAGTATGTTATAAACGAATTCAGAACCATTGACAATTACATTACAACATTTCAACATTTTCAATTAATGCAACGTTTCTTCGAACATTAACTGAGGTTTGCACTGATTGAGTCTTGAAAAATTTTTTAAATAGAATGAGAAGTTTTCAAAGTTTGAATTTGAATTAATTAAAATTGTTAAAGACAAAAAATTTGCAAATATTTTTAATATGATCGTCAACACAACATCAACATAAACACACGCACGCATGTCACACCACGATTTGTTTTCATTAATCCGTAATTCAAACACTATCAAACGCAGAGAATGTAAAAACAAGCAAGGCATGAAACATGAAAAACAAGGGGGATGGTTATAGAAATTTATTTATTTTATTTTACTCCTACATTAAGTAGGAGTAAAATAAAATAAATTATGATTTAAAAAAATATCAGTTACATCAATTGGAGATAAAATAAATAATTAGTTTTTAACATGTAAATAATGTATGTATTCAAAAGCGGACTCGTAACAGCCAACACCAATGTTATAACTTCAAGGATCTCTATATTTCCAACACCAGTGTTGTAGCTTCCAACGATCGTCAAATGTTCGCTATTCCGTAGGCTCTAGGTTTCCGATAGATGAGCACAACTGCTTCAAACGCAAACTTTGTTGAACGTTTATTTGAATACCAAAAGTAATAGAAACACTGAACTAATCCAGTTAACTACATAAATTACATTTACGACTTTGCACCGAACTTTTCTGGAACCTGACTGCAAACTTTTTATTATCCAATTTGTTAAAATTAATTAGAAAATTGTTGGTGTTCATGGTGAAAAGTGCATGGGCCATATTTTTATTTTACTCATTTTCAGTGCTTACATAGGTATTTTCAAGATTTTACAATTCTACAATTGCACACACAAAGAATTGTAAAATCCTGAAAAATTCCTATATAGGCGCTGACGATAAGATGGCCCATATACGCCTCCTCATGGACACAAACGATTTTCTAATTAATTTTAACAAATTGGATATTAATTACAAAGTTACCGTTAGAAATCTTGAAAAGCTCAATCGTAAACTTTCAAAAACTAAAAATTCGGTAAATCTTATCAAATATTGCATATATATATATATATATATATAATATATATATATATATATATATATATATATATATATATATATATATATATATATATATAATATGCCGCATGTACTTCTATATTACAAACATTAATTTTAGATTATTCATTTGGAAAAATCATTACAAATTAATATAATTACTTTTTAAAATACACTAAATGCTTTTGATATTGATTTAGTTCCTTTGGTACATGAATGTGGTCATATTAGATTTTTAATCAACTTTTTCAGCCTGATTCAAAAACAACTTTCTAGCTTATTAGCATGATTTAATAAGAGCTGAAAATTATGTTGATTTAAAATACTTCAAGTGGTATTTTAAATGTTAAAAACAGACAATAATTATTTTAATCGTTTAGGCTGGCAACAGACGATCTACCCTCCTTACTAATGCAACTTCAGCAGGAGATTTTCTTGTCTCAGTCTTACAAACAGCAATTGCAACCTGAACAGTTAAATCATTATTTGCAACAGTTAAAAGTTCTCATTCATCAAAATGAAATTCAGTTAAAAAAACAACAACAGGAATTGCTCAATATTTCACAAAAATCGAACAAAAAACAAAATGAAATTGATGGCTGGGATGAAGACGTTGATGGTGATGTTGAAAACAATGAGGAGAAAAAGCTATTGTTAGAACAGTTGGAAATTAATTTAATTTATCAGCAACAACTCCAACAGCTGCAACAACATCTTGATTTAATGCAACTAAGTTTGTTACAAAATGAAAATAGAGAATCAATGACAACCTCCCCATCAAAACAACAGCTAACGCAACAACCTACGCAAAAAACACAGCAACCAAAATCCATGCAACACTTTAAGGTGACAAATAGAGGACAAATTGAAGAAAAATTTAAGGAATCGACAATGATTCAAAAATTCCAGCCTGTTGATACAATTCAACACCAGCAGCAGCAGCTACATTCAACAGAAAATTTTGCACAGATCAATCAGAGTAAACAACATCAGCAAGAATTTATGCGACAACAAAATAATCAAATTTTATATCAAAATCAAACACAAAACCAGCGAAAAAATCACGAGATTTTTCCCTTAGAACAAACAAAACAAGTTTTTCAACAAAATGAGCGAATGAATGAGGGCGGGAAATTGATGGACTCTGTTGACCAATTTGACCCGTCGAAACTTCAAAACATCTCTTTAGACAGCACACAATCAGCACGTGCTTCAAGTAACTCAGTTCAGTCCAAAGTGAAATTCGCAGATAGCAGCCAACTGTCAATCAATCGCTTTTCAAAGAATAAACAAATTTTTAACTTATTCAACGACAAACCGCTATTAAATTATAAAACTAAAATTACACCACAAAATCTAAAAATATTATCAAGCAACGAAATTCCGAAAACATTTTTAAGCGATGAAAATCCGAGACCACCATTTAACAATGAAAATCGAATACCACGATTTAAAATCGGTAGTTCACCAAACAAACAATTCGAGCGAAGAAATGAATTAGCCACCTTTAAAAAATCAAAAAATTCACTGCAGAAGAATAAACAATTCTCTAAATTCAAAAAGCACAAACTTGTTCACCGAAAAGGTTCTGATTCAACATCATCTGGTTGTAATTCAACCTTTCCACAGGTAAATGAACTAATGTATCAAAAAGCAAGTGATTCGAAGCCAAAAGATGTCAGTTTTCAACGAAAAACGCATGCTAAAATTCTGTCAAAAGGGGGAAAATTAAGTGGTGAAAAATTCGAAAAACATTCCCTACATTTTACGGAGGCAAATCCCATCACTCTTCGTCGCAGATCCGTTAAATATTCACGTTGTAAATATACAAAACATGATGAACCACAAAGAGCCAATTTGGTCTCTCGTAGCTCCTCGACAGCATTCAACGAAAGAAAGCCTGCACTTGATGAAGACTTATTCACCGATATGGAAACAACAGATATTGAAACGGTGGTTACGGGTAGGGATGCGATTAAGAATAACGAATTAAACTGGTCTGGAATTTTCATCGAAATGTTTCTTTATCCCAAAATGATGGTTGTTTTCTTTGTTTTGTTTGCAACAATATTCTTCGTTTACCTGGAAAGCAACCCATTATACGCTGTGATTTGTGTTGGCATTTTGTGGGCTATCATTTCTTACATTTCTCCAACTTACAATGACAACAATACAACAACCAATTAACCGACGGTCACAGTTGCTTATGTTTTTCCTTAAAACTAGATTTTTATTCCTGTTTTAAATAATAAATATTTTTTAAAATTGAATTTATTTTATTACATACAATGAAATTAATGAAATTATTTGTCATTAAGCTGTCTAGGTATAATAAAAATATGGTTAACATTATTCATTGCTTTATTTTTATATTTATATCTTTTAAGAATCCATTTCGACATTAATGCATGGTTCGATTCAAATTCATTTATTTAGGATAACAAATTTTATTTTGCTTATCTGGGTAATGACGAAAGTGATGGTTTTAAAATTGAATCCATGTGAAAATGTTACAGTGGTATATATATATATATATATATATATATATATATATATATATATATATATATATATATATGGGAAACGTATGAGGTTTTAGAAGACAATCTTTCGGGAAATTATATTTTATAGGGCATTATATTTTATAGGACTTGAAAAATCAGCCGGATGAAAATTCTAGGCTATGCCTCTATATTTTTTCAAAAAAAATATCACTTTAGTGACAATAACATATCAGTTCAAAAAATGAAACCATGCTTTTACTTTCAAGATTTTTGTTTGAAGCGTGACTCTTTAGTCAAAATGTATTTGAATTTTTTCAACCACATACAATGATATTTGGTGTTATAAAACTTAACAATTTAACAAATCATTTTTTTATAACTAACTTTATTTATTTTTGGTTATGCATTCGCCAACATTACCATGAATAAATGAATAAAAAGAGTTGTTAATGTCAACATAACTCAGGCTAGGTAGGTCTCAAGTTTTCAAACGATGAGAATGTAATTCACTGCTTTAATGCATTCGCTTAAAGCTCAAAAAATGAAATTGTTTGCCGGTAAATGAATTCCATTTGACAAAAATTATGGTTTCAGAGGCTATTTGAGACAGCCGAAAACTCGATGCACTTCTTTGCGATTTTTAGTGCCAAATTAAATTGAAAAATTCTCTTTGGCCAAAATTCAAAGTTATGATTTTTTCAGAACATCTAGAAATGCCCAGATTTCTTAAATAGAAAATCATGTTAGAAAATTGTCCAGAATAGTTTACACTTCAAAAAATACTTCTGCTTGTTTTGACGAAGTTCAAAATTATTTGATAAAATTTGACAAATTCAATATCATCAAAATATTATGTAAACATAAATTGCCAAATGCTTTACCATCCAAATAGCACGTACCGCCCAAAATGTTAAGGCAAATGTCTTTGGTACTAAACTTGGTCTTTTTTCTTTTTTTACTTGTCTCTCTGCCATCTTGTCATGTGATGTTCTATTTTACAATTTTTACCCACTTCCGATGCACCCAACTGGCTGAGAATTTCTGGGTTAGTATTTACAATGATTTTTTCGAACACCATTCGATTGGAATTTTTGAGCAAAAATAGCCACATTTTTAATGTCTACATAGATAGAATTTACACTAAGTTGAATTAGATTTTCGCAAAATGTTATTTTTGCCGTTTGAGACATGATCTCGTACACATTTATTATATGATTTGAAGCCAGAAATTTTGATCACAATACCTGATAATCATGCCACTAAGAGTTTTTGTTCTTTATAATCCGACCAATGTAAGAACAATTTTTTAGTTTTTAAAACTATATAAAATTTTTAAAAATTTTGATACACCTTATAAAAAAAAATTCATTTTTTTAATTTAATAATAAAACACGAAAAGTGTATCTTTTCAGTCATCTTCTATGTAAAAATACAGTAAAAGTTGTTGTCCACCTGCGAAATTAATTAATGTAAGAAAATGACATTAACTGACTAAGATAAAATATCACAGTTAAAATATCACATAAATATTAAAAAAAAAACTCGTTTATATAATACTGATAAATGTAGATGTTATAAATCATCCAAATTGAAATACCTCCTTTGAAAAAATCATAAATGTATAAAATAATTTTTATCAGACTGAAAACCAGTTAGAAGTATTTCAAGCTGGACAATTTGTTCTATATATATACAATATATAATATAAAAATAAATAAAAAGCATGATAAAATATAAATTTAAACACAATGGAAAAACCGATAAAAACATATGAATATTCATAATAGAAACTGGTATTTGTTAAACACCAGATGAAAAAATCCTGCAACTCAAGGAAGGAAAAGCTAAAAGTATGCGCTTAGAAAGATAGATGACACAAAGACAAGACACATACAAACAGCATTGAAAACTATTTCATCTTGTGGAAGTAGACTGCTATTACAATCATTTTTGCCTTCTTAATAATATGGATTTATTAATTACTGAAAATTGTATATAAACGCTCTTATTTGCTTACATAAAAGAGATTTATCTGTGGAATTTTATAAATTATAGCTTTTAAACTTTATCAAAACGTGGAAAAAACTTTTTTGTTTCCAAATTCGGATACCAGCGAACTTAATTTTCACCTAAATGTTTGCAAAAAATTTACATATTATTAAAAAAAAATATAAAATCAGCTGTTCTGAATACAGCTGATTAAAATCTTATGCATTTCTGAAAGTGCAATAAAAACTAACATTAAAAACCGAAGTGCATATAAAAACAAGAAAAAGTAACCCTAAAGTCAAGGTCACACAAAATGCCCATGAAAACTAAAAAAATTTGTAATATGAATCCTGTGTCGACAAATTTCAGCACAAATTCATTTGGTGAAAAATTTAATATTTGCGATAAGAAAAAGATGAAGAATACACAAAGAGTATAAAAGCGAAGGAATTCTGAAAAGTCTGAAACTAATTTGAGTCAAACATGAAACTATGAAATAATGAAAAACATATAATTATTAATTATCACCTAATTGAGACCAAAAACTAAACTTCGAGAGCATAAAGAAAGCTAAAATCGGCAACATACCCTATTTATCAGACAATTTCTGAAATCTAAAAACTTAATGTATGACAATATAATACACCAAGCTTTAT